TCGGTAGCATGGAAACTCCTAAAACAGGATGCTGGGGAGTCGAGACACCCCAGGACTGCAGTGAGCCCCTGTAGGCTACCTGGACACCACACAAGGAGAGCCGCAGGGCTGCCCTGTCCTGGACCCTGACCCTTCATTCTTAGGTCACAGAAGCAGGTCTGCTGTGGTCATTTCAGCGCTTGGTGCTGGAGGACACCAGTAAGCTTCTTCAAGAAAGAGCTCACAGACCTGGGCTCATTTAACAGCCCTTTGCAGAATTAATAATCCTGCCACGTGCAAAGGATTTGTCTAAGCATTGTACAGGAATAAGAGATCCCTGCCCCTAGAAGATGGACAATAGGGCACCACACTAAAAAGACGGAGAGAAGTAATTTACAAAATAATGTACACCATGGAGGGACTTAAGCCAGAACCCAGGTAGGGTTCCAAGTGGACAGATGGTGCAAAGGCCCTGAGGCAGGGCTCCACTGGCAAGTCCAAGGGGAAGCAACGCCAGGCCGTGGCGGCCTGCTGTGAGGACCAGGGAGGTTGGCAGATGGAGGCTGGCAGGGTCAGATCAGGCAAAGCCCATCAGGTCATGGCCTGGAGTCTACATGTATGTTATCTTACCTTGAATCAGCCTTGTTGAGATTAAATCTATGTACAACAAAATAAGTAATTTTAAGTATGCAATTTGGGGGGTTCTGCAGGACTAGGGAACCTCCACCATAACCCTGATGTTGCCGGTTTCCATAACCCGAAAAAGTCACCCCCTGCTGAGTGTGGTGGCCTGGCCTGTGATCCTAGACCAGGAGGCTGAGGCAGGAGGATACAAGTTCAAGTCCACCTGGGGAACTTAGTGAGACCCTGTCTCAAAACAAAGTAAGAGAGGCTGGGGTGTGGCTCCGGGTGGAGGATTTGCCTAGCACGTGTGAGGCTTTGGGTTCAAACCCCCACGTAGGAAAAAACCACAATGGAATGTCGACCTGCCGCGTAGCCATCACCCAACTTCATGATCCTCAACATTTTATCACTTAAGAAAAGTTGGGCTGGGGTGTGGCTCAGGTGGAGCACTGGGCCCAGGGGGTGGAGCACTCACCTAGCCTGTGTGAGCCCTGGGCTCCAGTCCTGGGCAGTCGGACTCCTCCCCAAGCCTCCGTCCTAAGTGACGGTTGGCCTGCCCTCTGTCACCACCGATTCGCCTTTCCTGAAATGCGCAAATGGAATCATAAGACACGACGTCAGGTGGGCAGCCTTGCAAGCGGCCTCTGGGCCTCAGCGGCCTGTTTCCCTACTGTGCTCTGTGCCCAGCAGCTTGTGACCACACGCCAGGAGTAACGGGGAATCGCGAGTCCTCCTGCCCAGACTCGGGTCTCGCAGCGGTGCTGCCGTCTGGCTCCCGTGACGATGTCTGCTGCCTTCGTGAGCTGAGAGGCTCAGGGAGCAGGGAGCTGAGCAAAGCCTTGGCCAGAGGGACCAGGCCCCCAGGCCCCAGATGACCAGGAACTGATCCCGCCGTCCACCCTCGAGTCTCCAGCTGGCATTTGACTGCAGAGCCAGGGAGATAAGAAGCGGGCCTTGAATGGCTGAGGCCCCACGTCTGCAGGACTCCTGCTACCGCCATGGGTCACGGGCATCATGATCTGTGTCGACTTCATCTGTGGAGAGTGGTGACTCGGATCACAGCCCGTGACTACCTTGGGGCTGCCGCATGCTGGGAATTTCCTGTGCCAAGGTGCAGGTCAAGATGGCCCAGTTGCTAGGGTGATGCCTGGCCTGGGGAGGCTCCGAGCAAAGGCGCAGAGCTATCTCGGTCTGGACCCTGAGCTCAAGCACCGACTTTCAGGAATAGAGAATTCTGAGCATAACAAGATGACCTTGGTGCCTCGAAAGATTCACTGCGACCTTCAAGTCTGTCGGCTCTGCTGAAACTTTCCCAAAACAACCCATGTAATTCGATGATAAGACCTATATGATAAACGTGCTGAGCCAGCTCTAGGTTCCTCCATCAGAGGACATTGTCCCACCCGTCCCAACTTTCTTCTCCTATGTGTTTGTCTTTTCTCAATCCCCCATCGCCCCTCAGTGGTTTCTGGATTGATGACTTAAAGGCTTGTAAGATACTTCATGGTGGGAGGGTACTACACCACGGAGCCACATTCTCAGTCCTTTCTATGTTTTATGTTGGGACAGGGTCTCTCTAAGCTGCTGAGGGTCTTTCTAAATTGCTGCATCTGGCCTTGAGCTTGTGATCCGCCTGCCCCAGTTTCCAGGCATGTGCCACCCACCGCACCCAGAAGAGTGTTGTGTTTTTTGTTTTTTGGGTTTTTTTTTTTTTTTGAGATGAGGTCTCACTTTGTTGCCCTTCAACTCCTGGGATGAAGCCATCCCCCTCCCTCAGCCTCCCGTAGCTGGAAAGCACAGGCGTGTGCCACCACGCCCAGGTAGCACGATACTCCTGAGAATCAACCACAAGCACCTTGTTGTGTCCCCAGGAGCGTGGGCTTGTTCCTGAGTTGTGCCCTCCCTGTTGACGGACATTTGGGCTGTGTCCAGTTTTGGCTCCTGCTGCTTTGAACTTTCAGACGCAAGTCTTTGGGTGGTCACGTCGTCATTCTTTTCAATAAAGAGGTGCGTCCAGGATGACCGGGGTTCAGGGGCGCGTGTGCTTCACTCTGTAAGAAATGGCCACTCGGCTTCCCAAAGTGGGCCTGCCGGTTTGCACGCCAGCAGCGCCCAGAGACCTTCGGCTGCCCGCCCCTCAGCCCAGTGCACACTGTGCGTCTCCGGTTGCTGGCCACTCCACGGCTGCACAGTGGCGCCTCTCGGTGGGCTTCATGTGCCCTACCCCAGGGACCAAAACGCTAGGTACGTTTGGATGAGCTGGCTTGATCCGGTGGTCTCTGATCAAGTCTTTTGCTAATTTTAGAAAATGAGGATGCTGACCCTTCTGTTGCTGTGAGTTATTTATATTTTTCAGACACCAGTCTTTGGCTGCATGTGTTTTGTAAGGATCTTCAGTGGCCAGCGGTTTTCCGGCTCCTTCTCCCAGCAGCATCTTCTGAAGAGCCAGGGCTTTTAGTCGTGCTGAAATGACCCATGTTACCAGTCCTTGCTTCCGTTTCCTTCCCCTGAGCCGCGGTCTGGAGCTTCCAGGGGTCATGTGCGGGCTCCGGTCCTCCGTGTCCACTTCCTAGGACGGCATCCTGGGCTCTCGGGTGTCCTGCCCTCCGAATGTTCTGTTCCAGTTTTCAGTTGTCTCAGGTGGAGGGAAACCTGTTCCTCTTGCTTCTTCTCAGGCAGAGGTCGAAACGTACCCTTATTCGCTTAATTATCGATTTTGCGGTGCCGTGTGCATGCGGGGCGAGCGCTCTACCGCTGAGGTCCACCCCAGGCTATCTTCATTTTTCAAAATAGCTTTTTAAAATTACGGCTTTATCACTAATACTTGGCACCACACAAAAACTGCCTTTGCTCTTTAGAACGTTCTTCCTGGGCATGGACATTTAGGTCGCCAGGCTCTTTGTCTTGTTTTTGGCTCGGTGTCCCCAGGTTGTGCCCCTGACTTCCAGCCCCCCTGGCGTCTGCGGGCATGTTCCGTTGCTCTGTGTGAACCTGCCTCTTCCCTCTGTGCGTCTCCGAGTCTCTCTCCATTTCTCATCTCTGTCGACCTAATTATTACATGTCTTGGTGTGATTTTTTCCTGACTCTGCTTGAGGTTTGCTGTGGTTTACAGTTTCCTGTGATTGGTGAGTTTATAGTTTCCATCAAGTTTGAAAGGTTTCTAGGCACACCGTGGGGGTCTCACCACCCAAGGGCCTTGCAAAGACAAAGGAGTCAAAGAACAAGTCCTCATTCAGGCCCAGTGCACATGCCCTGAGGCAGAAGGGTCACCTGAGCTGCAGTCAGAGGCCACCCTGGGCCATGCAGCAGGACCCACTCTCAAAAGAACTGCAACAAAAAATCTCAACAAATTCAATTTAAACACCCAATTGGCTTTTACCAACAGTTCGTGAACCGGACTTCCTTCCATCTCCAGATTGACAAAAGGTGCTTCTGTGGGCACGGTAGCAGAGTTGGTAAAATCCAGCAGTGGTCGGAACAGGGTTGACGGGGGTGGCTTCAGCTCTTCTCCCTGTGGGGACTAAAGCCGAGGAGCTTCCCTGTCGTCCCTGCTAAAACCCGCCTGTCTGGGGATCGTCTGTCTTCTGTCTCTCCTGATTTCTTGCAGGTTCAGATAAACAGCCTAGTTTGGCCAGGAAGACAAACAGGGGTATTCTTATTGCCCCTGGTAGATACAATACGGTGCTGATGGCGCTGCATCTTGATTTCCTCACTTAGGTATGTTCTGGAGGCCGCTCTACAGCTGGACACAGAAGGAGACCTGCCAGGGGCCAGCTCCCTGTGGGTGGCTGTGTTCAGTCTCTGACTGTCCTTCCCCTCCCCGTGGAGTGTGTCCATCATCCGTACTGGGACAGAGAAGCAGAGCCCTAAGAACTCCATAACTGGGGCGGGCGCGGGTAGCCCAAGTGTGACTCCTCTTAGGAAAACCGGCACCGGGCTGATAGGGTGGGCTGATAGGGTGACCCGATCCGGCCCTGGAGCGCGGAATTCTGAGAGGAAAACAGACCCAGCACCTCCCGCGGTTGCAGACTCTCAGGATGTCCAGCCCAGGATTAGCAGGGGACTTCCCAGGCCTCCCGCGGCCTCGGGCACCCGCTGCGAAGGGGCAGGTCCCACTCATCCTGGCCCAGCGCGGCCGCGGAGCCTGGTGAAAGGGATCCGCAGCGCACACCGTGCAGCCCCCGAGCGCCGGGCAGGTGCGGGCAGGTGCGGGCAGGTGCGGGCAGGTGCGCGCGGTGCAGCCGCGAGTCCTGCGCGAGGGCCGAGCCCGCCGTCCGCAAGCGCCACCGTTTCTCACGTCGTCGGTCCTTCCCACCGCGAGCTGGGCGGGCCGCGCCTGCGCGGGGCTGTGTGCGCGTTCCCATGGAGCCGCAAGCGTCGCAGCCGAGAGCCACCGAGAGGGCCAGCGGGCCACCGCCGGGTTGGGCCGCTGACGAGGGCTTGTCGCCGGACAGGGCCGAGCAGGCCTTGGGGAGGTGGGTGCCGCGGGGCTGGCGTCTGTATCTCCCAAACCCTCGGGGCCGTGGACTCTCAGACGCCTTCTTTGGAAGGGCCGTCGGTCGTGAGTAGTTGAGGTGAGGCATCTTGGAGCAGGGTCCCTGCTGGGCACCGCTGGGGTCCTTGTAAGAGAGAGATCTGGACACGGCCCTGCCAGCGCAGGGAAGGCCCTTAGCACCAGGGGCTGGAGGAGCCCCCGGCCAGGAGAGGGGCCTGCAGCAGGCCCACCCGGGTAGTTCCCTGAAGAGCATCAGAGTCCGTAGGTGCACTCCCAGGACAGCCCCCTAGCCAAAGGGCCTAGCAGGCTGGACCGTGACTTTGTGCCCTGTCCTCTGAACCTCAGAGTCCAGGCCAGGGCAGTGAGGTTGCTGACCCAAGTGGGTGGTGTCCCCAGGTCACCAGGGCGGGCCCAGGGTACTCACAGAGTCCTTTAAGGCAGAAGAGAACCAGAATCCCCGCAGCCAGCCACTCGGGCTCTGACCACGGCAGGATGAGGCCTGGGGCGCGGGAGTGAGGGCACTGTAGAAGGTGGGAGAGGGAGCAGGGGGCTCTGTGCAGGGTCTCCAGAAGAAATGCGGCTCACTGCCCCAGAGCAGCCCAGCGTGGGAGGACCACCCTCCGCCCTGAGGCTGAAGAGTGCAGGTCCAGGATTCTCAGCCTGCAGTGTCCTGGGGACTGGAGGACAGAAGCGTGGTCCTGGGCGGCAGCCACACCAGGTCAAGAGAAGAGTGAGGACCCATCCTGTCTGAACGTACCTGGTTTGCCTTCAGACACCATGGAAGAGCCAGGTGCACAGGGAGCCAGGGCCCAGGGGCTGGGCTCCAAATATGGGGTTTGTGGGGAGAACGTGCAGGAAAGACCAGCTAGGGTGGCCAGGGGCAGCCACGCTTACGCACATCTTGGCAGTGGTAACCAACAGGGCTGAATCCCCACACGGGACCTCAGGGAGCCCAGTGAGGTCATCTCAGATGTCTGGCCTCCAGAACTGGGGTCACCCCAGAGTGGGGTCACTTGTTGTGGAAGCAGAGCACCCAAGCCCTCCAACCTCGTCACAGGCGCCGGTTGCCTCTCAGACCCCCATAGCATGACCCCCCACAGCTCTGTGTCCGGGCCAGCACCAGAGAGTGTCAGGCTTGCGCTCCCCCGGCTCCCCCGGTGCATCTGTCTCTGCAAACACCACCCATCCATGTCCTGCTTGAGAGTCCGTCTTGGTGCTACAGGGTGCCCGCCCCCTGCTCCTCATCAACACTGTCCTTGTCCTGTCTCCAGTAGGTGCTAAGTCAGGGACAGGTCCCTCACTGTCCTCCTGCGTGTGCTCTCCCTCCCTCTCTCCTGGTGGGACTTTGGAGGGGTTAGGGAAGATGGAGCAAATTGGGAAAGAATTGGTACCTTGGAAACATGAGTCTCCTGAACCTGCATTTACCATTTAGACTTTCTTCTGTTTTCATGTTTTCTTTATGGGAAATTTCAGAGTCAAGAGAACAGGAAGAGAGGCTGGGGCTGGGGCTCAGAGGTAGCGCGCTCACCTAGCATGCTTGGGGCCCTGGGTTCGATCCTCAGCACCACATAAATATAAAAAGATATTATGTCCACCTATAACTAAAGAGAGAGAGAGAGAGAGAGAGAGCGAGAGAGAGAGAACAGGAAGAAAGATAATGAGCCACAGGCCCGCAGCCACCCTGCACCAGCAGCTACCCAGCCTGGGCCCCTGCTGGTCCAGAACGGGACTGCGGAGGTGTCCCGGCTCACCGCGAGCTTTGGTGTGCACCCCCAGGTAGATGAAGGTGGCCTTTACCAATAACCATAAAATCATCATCAATTCCCACAGTCCTTTCTTTTTCTCCTCCTCCTCCTCCTCCTCCTCCTCCTCCTCCTTCTTTACCCAGGGGTGCTTTACCACTGAGCTACATCCCTTAAGCCACCAGAGTGGGGTCACTTTGAGACAGGGTCTGGCCTTGAACTTGCAGTCCTCCTGCCTCAGCCTCCCAGGTGGCTGGCATCACAGGTGTGCTCCTCGCCCGGCTTCAGCGGTGGTTTCTTAATGAAATCCAACTTGTGCTGTTTTCAGGGATGGTCACAGGGCATGCCACTCTGTTGGCTTGAGCTGGCAGGGTCCCCACAGTGGGGAGGCCCACTGATCTGCAGTGGCCCCTCCCCTCTCCCCCTGGGACCTTTGTTTGTTGAAGGAACTGGGCCATTGGCCCCACTGACTTTTAGGGGTCGGCTTCATGTCCCCGCGGGGTTCTGCCGTTTGTCTCAGCAGTCCCACGCGTCTGCTGTTGTGTTTATTCTTAAGGGCTTCATTCTTTCCGCTGTGGTTGTAAATGGAAAGACGCTCGGTTCTCGTCACCGAGGCGTCTCCGCAACGTGAGTGAGCTCCCGCATTACCTTGCGTCCCAGATGCTTCTCCTCCTGCGCCCTTGGACCTTCTCGTTGGGGACCCAGCGCCTCCTTGTTGGGTTCTTGGTCTTCCTCCTCTCTTCCTCCCTGGCCCTGGGTGCACTGGGCAGGTACACTGAGCAGTGCCTGGCCCCTGGTTCCCAGTCCTGAAGCTTCAGTGTCTGTGGCTGGGCCTGCGGCTTGTGGAGGGCTCCCTGAACGGGCAGGCTGACAGTTGATGAGTCGAGGAGCACGAGGTGGTGTCCTCGATGAACAATTAAACCGAGCCGGTCAACCTGTCACAGAAACACGCAACACTTTTTGTGGTGAGAACATTTGAAATTTACTCTCTCGGCAATTTTTAAATGTACAAATATTGATTGTTTTCACCACAATGGAACTAAAAATACGTGTCTCCTGTCTCACTCCCTTTGTCTGATCTACGGAACTTTTATTCTTCCCGTCTCCTTACTGTGGTTAGCTTCCATATATCAGCAAGAACATTCCACCTTTGGTTTCTTGGGACTGGCTTATTTCACTTAGCACGATGTTCTCCATTTCCAGCCATTTACCAGCGAATGCCATAATTCCATTTTTCATCATGGCTGAGTAATATTCCACTGTGTGTATTCACCCCATTTGCTTTATCCACCCACCTGTTGAAGGGCGCCTAGGTTGGTTCCAGAGCTTTGCGATTATGAATTGAGCTGCTATAAACCTGATGTGGCTGTGTTACAGTAGTTTGCTGATTTTAAGTCCTTTGGGTATAAGCTGAGGAGTATGATACCTGGGTCAAATGGTGGTTCCATTCCCAGTTTTCTGAGGAATCTCCATACTGCTCTCCGGAGTGGTTGCACCAGTTTGCAGCCCAAGCACCCTCATCAGCACCTTCACCAGCACCCTCACCAGAACACTCACCAGCACCTTCACCAGCACTCTCACCAATACCCTCACCAGCACCCTCACCAGAACCTTCACCAGCATCCTCACCAGAACCTTCACCAGCAACCTCAGCAGCACCTTCACCAGCACTCTCACCAACATCCTCACCACCACCCTCACCAGCATCCTCACCAACATCATCACCAGCACCTTCACCAGCACCCTCACCAGCACCCTCACCACCACCCTCACCTGTACCCTCATCAGCACCCTCACCAGCCCCCTCACCAGCATCCTCACCCGCACCCTCACCAGCCCCCTCACCAGCACCCTTACCAGCACCCTTACCAGCACACTCACCACCACCCTCACCACCACCCTCACCACCACCCTCACCACCACCCTCACCAGCACCTTCACCAGCCCCCTCACCAGCATCCTCACCCGCACCCTCACCAACATCTTCACCAGCACCCTCATCAGCACCCTTACCAGCACACTCACCAACAACATCACCAGCACCCTCACCAGCACCCTTACCAACATCTCACCAGCACCCTCACCAACACCCTCACCAGCACCCTCACCAGCACCCTCACCAACATCCTCACAACACACTAACCAACATCATCACCAGCACCTTCATGAGCACCCTCACCAACATCATCACCTGCACCCTAATCAGCACCCTCAATAACACCTTCACAAGCACCCTCACCAACACCCTAACCAACACCCTCATCAACATCCTCTCCAGCACCCTCACCAGCAACCTCACCAACACACTCACCAGCACCCTTACCAACACCCTCACCAGCACCCTCACCAGCACTTTGGTCACCTGTGTTCTTGATGACCTCCATTCTGCTGGAGTGTGATGGCACCTTGGGGTAGTTTTAATGTGCATCTCTAGTGGCCATGATGGTGAGCATCTTTTCTTGTTGGTTGACGTTCGTATTGTGAGGTTCATTTCTAACACAAGTTCACGACTTTTTTAAGTATGAAAGGGATGTTGGATTTTATGGATCCTTCTTTCTTGCTTACTGGGTGGATGGTGTGACCCCCTGGGGTCTGCTGGCTGGTGCCCGTGTGCTCAGGGGCCCCTCGTGGCCATGCCTGCTGTCCTGGCGGGATCTGCTGGGCATCTGCTGGGCACGTGGCCCTGTCGCTGAGCAGCGGGGGATGGGGGCGGTGGCTGCTTACTGCCGCCGCGGCTTGTGCCCAGAGTGTTGTGTGCTGGTTGCCTCTGTCCGCTCCCTGCTCATGGCCACCACGGTGTGCCTCTTTCTGAGCTTTAAAGCGCAGGCAGTGCCTCTGGAGAGCAGGGAATTAGACTTTTGAGATTTTTTTTTTTTTTAGAGAGAGAGAATTTTTAATATTTATTTTTCAGTTTTCGGCAGACACAACATCTTTGTTTGTATGTGGTGCTGAGGATCGAACCCAGCGCCCCGCGCATGCCAGGCAAGCGCGCTACCGCTTGAGCCACATCCCCAGCCCTGAGACTGTTTTTGAAAATAGCATTTCTTACCACTTCAGTGTGCTGGCTGGCACACTGGCAGCCTCTGTACCAAAGGTGGCCCTTCCAAGCTCTCCTGAGAGCCACAGAGTGACCCTTGGTTCTCCAGCCGCTTCTCCTGTGCCCGAGCCCTGCACAGGTGCTGGCCTAGGTCTCCCCACCCCCGGGGCCTTCACACTCGTCCTTCCATTTCCCAGTTTGCGGGTCCTTGTAGATTCGTGTGTGGAAACAGGAATCTGTACCGTTTCAGAGGATTAGAGTGGGGTGAGAGTTGAGAGCCAGGAGGGCGCGCCTCTGTGCCTGGACGCTCAGAGTATATGTATGCTGCGGTCCACTGTACGTCCAGCGAGGCAGTCGGGTAGCCGCACCAAGGTCCTGAGACAGAGCTGAACAGGTCTGGCCACTTACAAGTGTCTTCTGACAACCCCAGAGAGCACAGAGCAGTGGGCAAGTCTGTCCTTCCACGTGGGGAGAATGTGGTGGGTGTTTTATGGGCACTTAGAATCCTACCCTTTGGGACTTTAATGCAAAGTGTTTTTTGCAGTTTAAATCACTGGCATTGATTCATTCATAATGTAACCGGGAAACATCCTGAGCCATTGAACATATTCTTAGCGGCTGGTTCTGAAGCAGTGGCTGAATTAAGCAACAGAAACCCAGTTCCCAGCTCTGGGCATCTCCCGCACGGACACCTGTGCTCACCGCCCAGACTCACCCCCGGGGTCAGGGAGAGACTGTCCTCACACGGGACGTCTGTGCCCACACACTGACACAAGCACTCACCACGCACTCTTTCCATGTTGACCACGGTGTGAGCAGAACGTGACGATGGGCGTTAGAACAAGCACGTATTTGTGGTTGGACAGAGAGTAAATGAAGTCGTACCTCAGACTTGACTTTCACAAGAAATGACGAGGTACTAAAGAGCATCTATGTCTAACACTGTTTCTTGAGTGGAAAATCTTTGATCAAGGGATGTAAAATTCCATACCAAGAGTGTCCACAGGCGTCCTCCTAGAATCCCCAGACGAGGAGGGCGTGATCAGTGTTCTCAAGGTCTTTAAGCCCCTGAACCTTGGCAGAGTGTGTGTGTGTGTGAGTGTGTGTGTGTGTTCTAGTGAGATAACGTGAGCTGAGCATGAGATAAGACACATAAGTCTTTTGTGTGTGGTGTTGGGAAGGGACCCCGGAGGCTCGACCACTGAGCACCATCTCCAGCTCCTTCTGGTTCTGACTTTGAGACAGGGTCTTGTTAAGTTGCTGATGGCCTTGAACTTGCAGTCCTCCTGCCTCAGCCTGCACGCAGCTAGGTCCCAGGCGTGGCCACCACAGCTGGCAGACACAGAGGTCAGAAACGTCTGGTCGGATCCATTTTGACAACGGCATACATCTGTGCAGCCAGGTAGAGGGTGGCCCCAGACCCCGCAAGTTCCCTGGCCGTCCATCCTGGCACGCGGAAGCCACCCTACGAATTCAGCCCCCTGCCCGAGCTTGCTGCTCTGGGCTTCAGCGTACTCCTGTGTCCACTTCACGACTTTGCAGAGGCCCTCGAGAGAGAGCCCTGGGCGCGCCTGACGGCCAGCACCGCCCCTTCTGTTGCTCCCAGAGGTGCCCCGAGCTGTCCTTCCCTCCTCCTGTCCAGCACCTGGGCTCTTTCCAGTCTGGAGCTATGAGAGGGAGCGCGACCCTCCGTGAACGCCCTCGGGCAGTTTCTCAGCCGTCCTTAGGATCGGGGGCCTGTTGTTAGGGTCTTTCACAAGAAATTCCCGCCAGTCACACTCACGGCTGCAGATGGCTCCGAGTCCTTGCCAGAGCTTGTGCCACCTATGGTGTGACTCCCGGCCACCTCGGGGACACACAGTGCTAGGGCTTTAGTTTTCGTCCCGTGACTCTGGGTGTCACACCACGTGTCCGTGCTCGTTGGCCATTTCTGTATCTTCTCGTGTCATACGGCTCTACACCTTCTGTCTGTCTAAGCTGGAATCTGGTCTTTGAGTTATTGATGTGCAGGAACTCTTTACATATTCTGGATACAAGACCTTTGTCAGATATTTGTGCTACAAGTATTTTTTCCCTAATTGGTGACTTATCTATTCTCTTTCTTAATGTCTTTTTAAGGAAAGTTATTGATTATTATAAAGTCCATTTTTTAAGATCTCGGGTCCTGTTGATCTGTATTTTGTGATAACTTTCTTGCAGCCGATCTCTACCTTTCGACATGGAGAGAGCCACTAGCCTGGTCTCTGGAGAGGAGTTTGCAGACAGCATCCTGCCCATGGAGGATGGTAAAGGAGGCCCGGGAAAAATAGGCGACGCGCCTCACGGCTGCCCCTCGGCTCCCTGGACTCCCGCGAGACCGTGCCCACTGAATCCACGTGTTTCCCAACCCGGGAGCTCATCCTGCTGTCTTCAGCTGAGGCTCTGACAGTGCAGACCACAGTCTCCAGTCCTGGCGTCACTATTGAGAAACTGATGCCATTTTTAGCCCCATCCTTTGAATGTGACCTATTTTTATTTTCTTTTCCTGGACGCATTTAGATTCCCTTTTTAAATTTTCTGATGATCTGAAATCTTCCTGAGATGTCCTTGATTTGGACCTCGCTGCCCAGGCAGCTGTCACAGTCTGCACAGGTGGCTCCTGCCCGCAGCACCCTGTCCCTGAGCGTCCCCCTCTGGTCGGTGTGTCCTTCTCTCGCCCTCCTTGTGGTGGTGGGTGCACTTGTGCCTTTCAAAGTCCTTTCTCAGTCTCTGTGACAGAGACCTAGCGGAGCGTGGAGAGGGACCCCTGGTTCCATTGGCCTGGTCAGCTGGAAGTCCACAGTGACTCACACCAGGAGCCTCAAAGTCCTTGTCTGAAAACCAGCTACAAGACATTCTTAAAAAGTCTGGAAACCCAAGGGGCTCCCAAACTCCATATTTACTGTGCTAAGAAGTTAAGTTGAAAGTAATTCCACACTCATTCGCTTATCCACACTCATTCGCTTATCCACACTCATTCACTTATCGCCCATAGCAGGAATAAACTGTTGTAAACGGTGTGGTCTGGGTCAGTGGAGGACACTGCACCTGCCTGTCCCGTGGCCTCCAGCCACGTCACTGCAGGCACAGGACATTGTGCTGAGACAATCGACAGACCCCCAGGGCTCCCTGGGCCACACTTTGAGAACTACCCTTGCTCATCCAGTTTAAGCTGGTTTTGCTGTCCTCGTCTTCCTACTGGGGGTTGAACCCAGGGGTGCCAAGTCCTTAGGGCCTCACTAAGTCACTGAGGCTGGCTTTGAACTTGTGATCCTCCTGCCTCAGCCTCCCAAGTCCCTGAGATCTCAGGCGGGGCCGCTGCGCCCGGCTGCTGTTGGCTGTCTAACTCTGACCTCGATTTCCAGGAAGACACCCGGAACTGGAGTTGGAGGTGGAGTCTCTCCCCGAGGGCCCCGAGAGCGCGGCTGCCGCGGGAGACTGCGGGTGATTCCCGGGGGGCGTTCCTGCAGTGGAGCAGGGAGGGCGGGCAGGCGCAGGTCTGCGGGGTGGCACCGGGCAGGGGGCAACCCCGCTGCCCTCCTCCTGGATTCAAGCTCAGCGAGAGAAGAATGCGCTGCCACCGCCGGTGCTGGAGAGGACAGGAGTGCGGCCCCCGGGGGAGACAGGACCCAGGAGACGGAGCTGCGCCGGCACCTGGACCTGCTGGACAGGATGCAGGAGGAGAAAGGCCTCTTCCTCCAGAAGACCAGGTGAGCTGCTGGCCGCGGCCCAGCTGGCCTCCCCGCGGTCACCCGGGCCCTGCATCGTCCGTTTCTCTTACTGAACTATTTGACGGCAGACTGCTGACTGTGCCACCTGGCTGCTCTCTAAAGAGCACTCTTCTTCATGGCCGCCACCCACGAGGCCCCCAGGGAGACTGGTCCAGCCTAGCATCATGCCAGGGTACCTCCTGCTGCTGTTTCCCAATTCTCCTCTAAATGTCCCTTCAGCCATCCTTGGGGTTCTCTTTTGTTGCCAAAGTCACGTGACAGGAGCCAGTGTGTGGTCAGGCCCCCAGGACCACTCCAGCCAGTGTTCTGAAATGGCCAGCTGCAGTGCCAACTGCTCATGACTCAGGGACGCTTGGGCTGTGGGTGACCTTGGCCGCAGAGCCAGTCCCTTGGCAGAATGTTGAGAACGTGGGTGACAAGGCCCTGTCCTGTCACTGGACAGAGGACCTAGGAAAGGCGCTACCTCAGCCCCCAGCCGGGCGAGGCTGCAGCTTCAGAGCCACCACCCAGTTCTCGTTGGGCGTTTCAGAGAAGAGCTGCGGGCCTGTCGCCAGAGGGTGGACCTCCTCAGCAAACAGCAGGAGACCGTGGCCGCCGAGATGGCCAGGGAGAGAGCGGCCAACAACATGTAGGTGGTATGCAGCCAGTAGGCCGGGGCCAGGCACGACCATGCTGCCAGGGCGGTCCAGGGCCCTCACGGCCCCCCAACCCAGATTCCAGTGGCAGCCAGTGTCCACATGGGCCCGACTTGACCACTGACCACTCACTCAGGCCCGTCCCCACACAGCAGGGCCGCTGGTCAGTGCTGCTCAGGCCCCTCCCCCAGGCAGAGCCCCCAGCATGTCACCATGAGGAAGTCACCTGCTCACCGCCCCAGTGGGTGGTGCCCGGGGAGAGCGGCAGCCCAGGAGGGAGGAGGCCGAGGGGGGGACTCGGGGTCCCCGGGTGCTCTGAGGGCCCGCAGCTTCCCAAGAGAACAGGAGAGGCCACAGGGTGAGCGCCCCTCCCCAGGCCCGAGCTGACCAGTTCAGACAGACTGACTCCCGAAAACGCGGAGGCCCCTGGTGCTGACCTGTGCCGTCCCCCGTGGCGGTGCTCCAGGGCCGCCGTGGGCCGTCTCCAGGCCACGTCCAGACGCCTGCACACAGAGCTGCAGAAGGAGCAGGACCTGCAGTCGAGGATCGCGGCCATGCTGAGGGAGACCGAGTAAGCGGGCAGCGCCCGGGGCCGGGGCGGAGGGCGGGCCCCAGGACCAGGTGCCCACCGGCAGGCAGCGTGTTAAAGGGGCAGCTGAGAGGAGACAGTGCACACTCTTCTCCGGTTGTTTGCAGGGTGAGAAGCTGTGAATTGGTTGTTTCCTTTTCCTGTTTCCGGTTCTTTGAGCTTCCACGGAAGCCGTTAAAAAGCACCTCCAAAGTCCAGGTGTGGTGGCCACGCCTGTGAGCCCCGTGGCCCTGGAGGCTGAGGCCGGAGGACTGTGAGTTCACGGCCAGCCTCAGCAAAGGCGAGGCGCTCAGCAACTCAGTGAGACCCTGTCTCTGAATAGAACACAGAACAGGCTGGGGGTGGCCCAGCGGCCGAGGGCCCTGCGCCCAATCCCAGTGGCCCTCACACACAAAGTGCCTCCACGATTCTCCAGAGGCCCTGTGGGGAGCAAGCTGCGGCCTTGAGACCCCCAGTGGCGCTTGGTGGTCGAGCCTGGACAGCTGAGGCAGAAAGGCTCTTGGGGGACGGAAGCCGGTCACTAACTGCACCAGGAAGCCTCCTGGGCACAGCCGGGGGGCCGGATGGTGGCTCTGCTGTGACACTCCCGGGACAAGTGGGGCTCTCCAGCCTCAAGGGCAGCAGGCACAGGGAGAGCCAGGGCTCCCTTGGGTGCCCCTTGCTGCAAGAGAGGCAGCTCCGGCTCTTGCTGCACCCACACTGGCCCCTGGGCCTGGACGTCCAGCCCCTGGCCTGCCCTGCCATGTCTAGTCACCATCCACGCTGGTGTTCGCGGCCCCCGGGAAGTGCAGAGCCGCCCAGGACGTGGCCGTGGGAACCAGCGGGCGAGGGCTGGGGGGAGTGGGTCCCAGCACTCTTGCCTCTCCCTCCACAGACCCCAGCGAACTGCCCTCCTGGGGCTGCTGTGGTGCTCGGAGGGCGGGTTTCTGACCCGCCGTCCCTCACGTGTGGGTCAGCTTCCGACCCAGGACCCTCTTCCCAGTGTGCACACCTCCCCCGGCCACCACCCCGATGAGTGACGGGGCCTCAGGGGGCTCCCCTCTGCTTCCGTCCTAGGGACCCCAAGGTCTGCTAGCTGCCAAACCCCTTCTGCCCACCAACCGAGACACCGAGCCCCTCCCTAGAGGGCCACTGCAGTGCCTTTGGGGGACCCTGTGCCACAACGCAGGGCACGTCCCCACACATGGCAGGCCTCTGTGCTCTTTACATCAGATACAGGGTCGCCAAGGGACTGTGGGCATCTTGGCTCCCACGTCCATGTTCCCCCAGCAGCCATGCTGCTGGCCAGTGCACGCTGCCCAGGCTGCAGCCGCCTCTCCTCAGCCTCTCCCCAGCCTCTCCCCAGCCTCTCCCCAGCCTCTCCTGCCAACCTCTCCCCAGCCTCTCCTGCCAACCTCTCCCCAGCCTCTCCCCAGCCTCTCCCCAGCCTCTCCTCAGCCTCTCCTGCCAGACCTGGATCTGTCCCCACATGTGGCACCTGTTGCTCTGAGATGCCAGTGCCGTCACTGTCACTGCGGCCACCACCGGGACAGAGAAGACAAGCCTTCATGACACCTTCAAGGGCCATGAGGACTGCTTAGCTCAGATGGCCACCACCCCTCAGTTCCAAGGCAGGACACGGTCCTCCTCTGTCCTCGAGCCCCTGGCTGTGTGGAAGCTGACCAGCCGAGAGCTGGGCCTCGTCCATGGGCCTCCGCCAGGAAGGGTGAGGGTGGTACTGCTGGACTGCTGCTGACCCTGAGAGGTCATCCCCTGAGACGACGCACTGGGTGAGGGGAGGACCCCTCAGGTGGGTGTCTCCTGCTGCTTCTCACCAGCAGTGGTGGCCTGCCATTGTCCTGGGGCTGGACAAACTGACCGGGCTGCAGATTTCAGCTGAAGCCCAGTGATGTGGACCACAGGGCATCTGAACGTGGTGGAGCCTGGGTGCGGGCCAGGGACCTCAGCGAGGGCGAGCACCTTCCCACGGATGGGGCACTGCCCCGTGCCCTGGCCTCGGGCCCACCCACCCACCCACCGCGGCTGGAGCTCACCACCGCAGCGTAGGTCTGGGGCCTGGAGGGCCACGTCGTGGCTGGTGAACAGAAGCCCTCAGCCGGGCCGAGCTGCCCGGGGCACCTCCCTGGCCGGACAGCCTGGGCAAGCGTGGCAGGTGACCACTGGCACCCAGTGAAGAGCTCTGGCAGAGCTTTAGGGACAAGAAGTGGCTTCTGAAGAGATGCAGAGCTGCCCAGGGAGCCAGCTCCGTCCTGCAGGGCACTCGGCTCCGAGCACCCTGCAGACGCCCTCGTGCACGATGGCGGGAGGAGCTGGCCCGGGAGAGCAGAGCAGGACCAGCGTCGTCCAGCAGGGAGGCTCTGCTGTCACTGTCACTGGTGCTCAGGGGTCTGCGGCTCACCTGCGCTGACCCTGTCCCCACACCTGGGCCTAGGAGAGTCACTGTGGTCTGGAAGTTGAGCCCAGGTGAGGAACCAGCGGGGTTCTGTGAGGTGGTCAGCGTCCTTCTGAAAGGGCTCATGGCAGCCTTTGTCCCTTTGTCCCCTCCTGCGAGGACGCCCGGACAGCACAGCCAAGAGGACAGGTCCTTGCTGAAAGGAAAGTGACCACAAGACTCGGAGTGACCAAGAGATCCTTACTGCAGCAGAACAACAGAGGAGGAGAGGGGGGGGGGGGCGGCAGGAGGGAGTTTTTACAGCCCAAATCTAATGGGGCCTCTGGGTCTGCAAGCCGCCTTGTTGGTGCGAGGGGGGCTGAGCGCTCAGCCTTGAGCGGGGGCTTGGGCGTTTGGGCTTGAAGCAAACAGGGGATAAAGAACCAGACAGAGGGTCGGCGTGGCCAGGTCGCCCTGCAGACAGCTTACTCAGCCTGTCCTGCACCTGACACTTACCAGACCCTGTCCTCCTGCACTTGACCCTGGACCCCCGCCTCCAGGACTGCGCGCTGCGAGGGGGGCTGGTTGTAGATCACCAGCCTCCGCCTCTGCCACGGCTGCACGGGCCCTCACCCAAGTCCTCCACAGAACAGGACGCGGCACCGTCCAGAGCTGCCGGCAGCACAAGTCCTCAGCTTGGAGTTGCGTGGCCCAGCCACAGAGCCACAGGGCAGTGGGGACGGCCTCAGGGGCAGTCAGCAACACTCCAGTCCCAGAGTTGAAGGGACCCATCATTAAAAAGCCAGCGACTGTTTCAAATTTCCCAACAAAGAGCACACCAGGCCCAAGTGTCGAATGGAGTGGTTGTCACACGCGTCCTGCGTGGCCCTGTGCGACATGGCAGGTGTGGGCCGGCCGGAAATAGAAGGCTGAAAAAGTAGAATTGAAAATAAAGAGGCGGGGGCTGGGCTCAGCGGTGAGCGCTGGCCTCGCACGGGCGGGACCCGGGCTCATCCTTAGCACCACATAGAAGTAAAGGTCTTGTGTCCACCTGTAACTAAAAAATATTTTAAAAAGAACTAAAACAGGCTCTGGGTAAGAGCTGAGTTGGTGGAGTGCTTACCTCGCATGCACAAGGCCCTGGTTCAAAAAAAAATTTTAAAAACAAACAACAAGAAATGCATTGACAGCAGGGGTTTTAGGGTGGAAGAGCCCCATGGGTCCGACCCTAACACAGGGAGAAGCCGGCAAAGGCTTTATTTGTAGTGAAACACACCAAAGGGTCTTTTTGTGAGGAGGGTCCTTCGAGGCCAGGCTGTGGGAAGCCAGCCTGACTGGGGACCCTCACTTGGTGGTGCCTCCTCCGCCAGCAGCTGGTCTCTCGAGGCTACCTGGGCGCCCTAGTATCGCTTTCCACCTCCAGGGAGGTGTGTTTGAACCTGTCTGAGCCAATAGATTCCACGTGCCACAGGGTTCTCCTTGAGCAGGGCGTTTGCCAAGGCAAGGAAGCAGTCTCAGAGGTCAGGCTGACACCGCGCGTTCAGATGGACCCACAATTCATCCCCAGCTCCCAACAAGTGGTATCGCTTTGCTACTAAAGCCACGAAGGCAGTGCAAGAAAGGAAACGCACACCCGACCGTCCCCCAGGAAACACGGGCGGGCAGGTGAAGCAAGAAGGAAACGGGCCACGTGCTGCACACGTCACCACTCTGATGACCAAACACGTCTGGGCATGGCGGTCTTCAGCGTGAGCACCTTGCAGGGGACAGGGACCAGGCCCCTGTCCAGCTTGCACCCTGTGATTTCCCTGGGAGATGTTAGGCTGACTGCAGGCCCACGGGCCACGCTTGCGATCCCGGCCACTGGGGGGCTGCGGCAGGATGGCAAGCTCAAGGCCAGGGTGGGCCACGCATCAAGGCCCCGTCTCAAAATCAAAATACCAAGGCGTGAGGGGGTGGCTCAGTGATAGAGCACCCTGGGTTCCGTCCCCAGCACTGTGGGGGGATGTGAGGCTGATTTCATTCGAGGGCGCCACAGCACGGGGACCCGCCACAGGTCTTGTGATGGAGAGAATGGCCTCAACTCCATGGTGACGATTCTGTTTTAAAACACTCTCAGCCGCCAGGCTCAGAGGTGCACATCTGTGATCCTAGCTCCTCAGAAGGCTCATGCAGGAGGATCTCAAGTTCAAGGCCAGCCTGGGCAACTTAGCAAGGCGCTGTCTCATAATACAATGAAAAGGGCTGGGGGGGGGGGTCAGTGGAGCCGCCTGGGTTCCATCCCCAGCACAGAGCAGTAAAAAGGCTCAGAAGGGGATTTTCTTAAAATGGTTAAGAGTATCTACCAAGCACTTCCCGCACCCACCATGTGGGGTGCGCTCGAGGATGAAGCAGAGTGGGGGGCTGAAACCTGTGGGTGCAGACAGAGCCCAGTGCCGGGCAGAGCTACTGGGGAGGCCCAGGGCAGCTGTCCAGGTGGTGGGCTCTGGTGGGTAGGAACTCACTGCTGCTCACCAGGGCGGGCCCCTGAGGCCCAGGAAGCACGGTTCTCAGCCTCTACCCTCCCCTGCTTGCACCCCCATCCCACCCGAGCTGAGCTAGAAGCTCAAGGGGCATCGTGTGTGAGAGGCCACACTATCCAATGGTGGACAGAACTGCCCAAGGTCAGAGGCTGGACAAGTCGGTGATTTTCATAAGGTTGGAGGCAGAACAGGGGGACCTCAGTCTCCAGCTGAGGTCGGGCCCAGAGGGTTCCTAGAGGCGGGAGCCACGGTTGTCCTTGACAGTGTCCAGCACTGGAGTGCTGGTCCAGGCCGTGCCAGAACCCAGGCCTCCCGCGGGTCCCAGCGCCAGCAGGTCTCGGCCTCCTGTAAACCGTGGTGTTGTTTGCAAGGGACGCCTTGTGGCACATTGAGATCCAGAAGGGGCGGCTCCAGGCCCTCCGAAAGTCCCACCACGAGGAGGCAGAGGCCAGGGGGAGGAGTCTCCAGGTGCACGAGGCCCAGCAGCTCTTCAAGGAGAAGGAAGCCTTGGAGAAGGCGGACAAGAACCAGCAGCTGAGGGTCCGGTGAGCCGCCCCAGCCCCCGCCCCAGAGTGCCTGCCTGGCTCCTGCCCACCCCTCTGCCCTCTGCACCAGGGCTTGCCAAGTTCCTCTCACTGCCAACCTCTCTGTGTCTGTCCCCCTGGCCCGGCCTAGGCTCCCTGCCCCTGAAATGCTCCCAGCACTGAGACCTGTGGGCCCTTCCTCCTGCCCACTTCCTCCTCCTCCTCAGCCAGTTTGCTCTCTGCATCCCCAACCAGTGCTCCTGCCCAGTCCCTGGAACAGTCACCGGGTCTCCTGCTCAGCCACCTACCAGACTGTCCCCAGGGATTCAGGGCAGTTGGATCTCCTCCCTCCCCAACCTGGAAGCAGGCCTCTCCTCTGGAGCCCCAAGCCCCAGCCTCCTCTGCACATCTGGCCTCCACCTTCGTCCAGCTGCCAGGCCAGGACCAGGGTCCTCCTGACCCCTACCACTCCCACCACGCCCAGCTGGTGGCCAGATCTGCTCCTTCCTGTGGACCCAGGGTCCTGCCGCCTCCATCTCCGGTGTCCCCCCCATCTCTTCCTCCCCTTCCCCCCCACACCCCTGCCCACCCTGAGCCAGACCCTGCTGTTGCAGGGCTCCTTGAACCAGAGCCCCCCATAGCATCTCACGTAACACCCATCGCCTGCGGTGCCAGCCTGCCCGGTGCCCCCTCCCAGCCTGGCCAGAGCTGTGTGGGGCGGCACAGAGCGCAGGGACTGGGCAGGCCGCTCCCACAGTGACTCAAGCCCCGAGGGCTGAACGCTTGGCCCACGATTTTGCAGGAAGTCCTTGCAAGTGCAGAAGGGGCTGGGACTTCGACACCAGACGCTGGTGGAAGAGGCCCAGAGGAACCACAAGGTGGCCGTGAAGTTCCTGAAGGCCTCCCTGGGACGGTGCGTCCCCACCCCCAGGACCGTCCTGTGGGCACCCGCGGCGTCTGAGCAGCTCCTTGGTCCTCCCGTCACCACCTAGTCACCCAAACCGCAGAGCTGCCCGCTCCCGCAGCGCCGTGGCCATGTGGGCTGGTGTCACCACAAGTGCCCCTGTCACAAGCCCACCTTCCTCCAGAGTCCGGGAGCGGGAGCGCGGGGAGGAGTCGGAGACCCGCGAGCACCTGAGGCAGCGCATGGATGCGGTGCTGGCCCTGAAGAACAGCATCGCCGCCAGCCGGGTAGGCGTGGTCCTGGGCGTGGTCCTGGGTGTGGGCGTGGTCCTGGGCGTGGTCCTGGGCAAAGGCGAGGCCCTGGGTGTGGGCGTGGGCGTGGGCGTGGTCCTGGGCGTGGGCGAGGTCCTGCGCAAGGTCCTGGGCCTCGGCCTGGGCCTCAGGGCGCCCTCTTTCCAGGAGACACTGCGCAGGGTCCAGGCCTGGGGCCGGGCCCGGGCGGCGCTGACCGAGCGGAAGGCCAAGGCAGAGAAGGAGGCCATCCTGGCCCAGGGCGGGGACGCCTTCAGGCACCTGGTCCACCAGCAACGGCGCCAGCACCTGGAGGCCCAGAGGAGGTGAGGGCAGGAGAGTGGGCAGGTGACAGCAAAGCCCACTCCTGCTCCAGGGCAGGCGGGCACAGGAGGGGGAGAGGGCCACGGCCCTCACCCCAGCCAGTCTGCGGCTCCTGCCAAGACCCCCTCTGCACCTTCCCCCTGCCCACCCCTGGCCCCCAGGTGCAGGGGGTCTCCAGGGAGCCTGGGCCCTGCACTCTTCACCTTCCCAGAAGCAGGCGAGGAGGTGGGCCTGTGCCCACCACTGGCTGGGACCCTCCATTCCTGCCGCCCACATGGCATCTGTGGGGGGCCTGGGCCGTGTCCCTCCTCCTGGGTGCTGCTGGGACTCGCCCTCCACACCCCACCCGGGCTTGGCTCTGCTCTCCCCAGGGCAAGCTGGTGCTGCCTGCTGTCCTGCCATGGGCTCCTGGACTGGCCTCTGAGGAGGGCTGCTCACTTGCACACACGGCCCCAGGGACTTCCCTGCAAAGGTCTTTCTCAGGCCTCGGCCTCCTCCTCGCTCTCCTCCCGCCCTGCTGGCCTCCCGCCCTCTCTTGGACTGTGTCAGGGAGCGAGGTGTCGTGGAGCCTGGCTGTGACCTATTCAGTCCCGCACTCACCCCTGGGCCTTTGTCATGGCCCCTGCCTGCCTAGGCCTGGTTCTTGGGCAGCGCCTGGCAGGAGCAGCAGAGAGGAGGAGTGATGTCCTCAGGCCTGGCACTGCCCTGCTCTGTGCCCAGCAGATAGCCTGGGAACCTGGACAGGGCAGCTTGTGAGGACCAGGCCTATCGTGGGGACTGTCACAGGGGCCAGCAGGACAGAGCCGGACAGGCAGGGGAGGCAGGGCTGGCGTTCAAGCCCTGGGTCTCCAGCGCGGCAGCCCTCTGGGGCCCCATCATCCCTCCCCAAAGAGGCCAGCGGTTCACTGAGACCGGGATGTTTGACCTCAGAGCCCTGCTGGGCTGGACCTGAGCCTCTGGGAGGCGGCCAGCAAGGCCAAGCTGAGCCACACTGGGCCCGAGTGGCCCCCGGATCCTGTCTGAGAAGCCGCTCCAACAGGACCTTCCAGGAGGGGCAGGAGCTCCGGAAGCAGGAGATCGTCGGTCGGATTGTGAAAGAGGTGGCCGAGGAGGGCAACCGGAAGAAGAAGCAGCGGCTCCCGGCCAGAGCCCCCCGGGGACGCACTCTTCGAGACAGGACCTGGAGCTACATCGCCCACGTCTGCACCGGGGAGACGGCTGTGGCCTCCAGCTACCCACTGGTGAGCGGACGCTGCTGCTATCAGGCGGCTGCAGTGGAAGGGCCTGGGCCAGGTGCGGAGGAGGACATGGAGGGCCCAGGGACACAGCCTCTGCATCCCCAGTGGGATGGACTCCCTCTGAGCTCTGCCAGGGCCCTTGCCACCCTCGGCCGACCTGCTGCACCCAAGTGTAAGCGGGGTCTGGCCCAAGGGCAGCCCACCACGTTTCCACCCACTGCCAGGGACAGGCTTCTGCCCACCTGCCACACCCAGGCCTGCGTGGTGCCAGGGGGCAGGGAGGTAACCCTTTGGGCCTCTGAGCCCACGAGGCCTCTGTGGCCCGGCTGTGCCCTGCCTTTCCCCTGGGGCCGGGCTCCCGGCCAGCGGGCAGGGCCTCTGCCACTGCCCTCCCTGCTCTTCTCTGCACGTTCTCCTCTGTCCTGCGAGGCCTCCGGCCTCCCCTCAGCACCCCGACTCCCCCGCTCCTCAACTGGGCCTGCAGCAGGTCCCCCAGGAGGAGCCCCTGCCAGCACCGCAGAGCAGTGGGGGGGGGGCCGGTGCCGGTCCCAGACATCCATCCATCCCAACGCCTTGCCATGAAAGGGAGTCTCTTGAGGACTCTGCTGAGCACTGCAGAAAAGTGGAGTGTAAAAAGGCCGAAGCTGCATTTTAGGTGGAAAGCGGAGCCAGGCGTCTTCTCCAGGCAGAGGAGGGGCTGCGAAGGCTGGGCTTCCTGCAGGCTTCCCGCAACCTGTCTTCCTCCTGCTGCTGCAGTCCTGACTTGAGTGTATCTTGCTGCATCCTGCCTACAGGAGGTCAAGGCTGCAGCGCACCCTGAGCCCTCCTGGCTCCTGAAAGCTGACTCCAGTGAGTCTGTGCAGGGGGTCACTGGGGCCACCAGTGGAGAGCAGGAAACGCTGGCTGAACCCGAGATCCCCGGGCTCTGGAGGGAAGACTACATGCCGTACCAGGTAACAGCTCTCCTCTCCTCGGCAGGGCCTTGCGGGACTCTCCCTGGCCCTCGTCCCTGGCTCCGAGGACTCTCCTTGTTGCCCCTGTCCATCTCTGGCTCCTTCCTCTGCCCACCACTGCCAGTGCCACCCTCCTTCAAACCTCAAGGCTCCCTCCTCCTCCCCAGGGGGGCCAGCATGGACACAATGGTCCCATTCTCCACTGAGTCTAGCTGCCTGTCCCTGGGGCCTCAGAGGTCAGCCCTGCACTGCTGCCTGTGGCCGGGAGGGGAAGGGCTGGAAGGCAGAGGGACGGCCCTGCATCGCCGCTCTCTGTCGGGAAGCGTTTCTAGAGGAAGGCTGAGTGCGGATGACCACGACCCCTCGGGAAGCCCCACCCAGAGTGCTGGACCTCGGGATCGCAAGGCGTGTCCCCAGCTTGTGGTGGCCGCCGTGTGCTCCGTCCCTTGGGGAGGGGCTGCCCACCGCCCGGCTCCTGTTGACGTGGGCTCCCTCCGTCAGGGCAAGGCCGTGACTGGCTCTGGCAAAGCCTGACTGGTGGGAAGCAGCAAGACGGGCCTGGCTGGCTGTGCCACTGGACCCAGAGGCAGAGGGGGGGCAGGTGGGTGCCAGGCAGGTACCAGGTGGCTTCCCACCATGGCGGTCAGGCCTGGGCTGTCCCATGAGCTGACTGAGCCGAGGACTCAAGCAGATTCCTCACCAGGAGAAACAGAACTAGCCTGGGGCCATCTTGGACTCCGGCTCTGCTGCTGATGTGCGAGAGGTTGTCCTGGCCCGACTTTGCCCTGGAGAATTCTCCCTGCAGAACTTTCCAAAAACCCCCTCTCATCCTGACTCAGCAAGTTACAAGACCCCTCCCCTCCGTCTCTCCTGGGGGTCCCCTGCGTCCTGCGAGCTGTCTTCCTCCTCCCACTTTTCTCTCTGGGAAGCACCGATCCCTGAAGTGGGCCTTCCTCAGCAGCTGGGCTCAGCCCTGCCCTTGGTCAGCTTCGGGTCTTGAGCCACCGGGCCTCCTCTGTCTCTGCCACCCAAGGAGCACAAGGAGGACGTGAACCAAAAGCCTGTGGGCGGCACCAAGATGGACAAGGACATCCTGGCTCGCACGATGGCCCAGCTGCGCCGCGGGGTGGTGCACAAGCAGGTGGCGTTGGGGCGGGAGTTCAAAGGCTGCCCCTTCAACAGCAAGCCCCAGCTGGTCCACTTCCAGGTGAGCCCAAGGCGGCACTGGGCAGGGGCTGGGTAGCCCACGGTCAGCCCCAGGGCCTTTTGCCTTGACCTCTGCAGACCGTGTGGACCGTAGGGCTGCCTCTGGTGTGAGGAGCCGAGAGTGCGGGAGGCTCGGGAGGCACCGTGGGCCACAAGGACCCTGGGCCTCTCGGGATGGGGATGTGACTGGGCAGTTGCCACCAGGCCCCTGCCCTGGCAGATTCTGGCTTCACGTGAGAAGGCCCCCAGGAGTCCAGCCCCCGTGGCCTGCTGGCCCATGTCAGCAGGTGAAGGAGCAGGTGAGGCCAAGGTGGCCGGCCTGAGCCTCCCTCCTGTCTCTTCCCCACGGCTTCTGTGGAGCCTCATCTGCCAAGGCTGGCGGGCAGCTGAGGGAGGCCCGGGAGCCCTCCCTGGCCCAGGCCACCCCTTGAGCCGCCCTGAGGATGGGCAGCAGCAGGGTCCCAGGCAACTCGAGGCTGCTGCCGAGGCCTGGGGTCAGCCACTGCTGACTCTCCAGGACTTCGAGGTTGGCAAAGCGTACAAGAAGAAGATCACGCTGGTGAACGCCACCTACACCATCAACTACTGCTCCCTGGTGGGCGTGAGCGAGGACCTGCGGGACTTCATCCACGTCAGGTGAGTCCCCAGCTTCGTCCCTGGGCAGCGCGGAGGCCATCCGTCCTCCTGCATCCGGGTCTTGATGCCGGCACTCACCTGGCAGGCACCCGGCAGCCAGAGAGCCTTTCCACAGGGCGAGCACAGCCACCTCCCTCAGGGACCACCTCCCCAACCTGCCTGTGCCTGTGACTTGAGGCTTGAGCCTCAAGTGCTGCTTCTGCACACGTGTGCTGCTCCTCCGCTCCTAACATCTGGCCTTGGTTCACCACAGCTTGGCTCTCTTGTGCTTCCTTCCCAACCTCCCCCACGGTTTGGAGAGCAGGTTTGAAGGCCCAGAATGGCTTTAAGATTTGCAGTACAGCTGGGCGTGGTGATGCTTGTGATCCCACTGACTGGGGAGGTTGAGGCAGGAGGATCGTAAATAAGTTAGAGGCCAGCCTCAGCAATTCATTTGGCCCTGTCTCAAAATAAAAAATAAAAAGGGCTGCAATGTGACTTGGTGGTAATCCCCAGTACTACAAAAAAGACTTATAGTATAGGAGTGCGGTGTGTGATGTGCCATTTCTGAAGAGGGCGTCTGGCATAGGAATCCCAATCTCCTTTCTCTACCAGGCTCCAGGGCCCTGGTCTGCCTAACAGCCCCCCCTGGTGAGCAGTGCTGGCCGACCCAGGCTCTGGCCAGTTTTCCCACTGGGATATTCTGTTCTCTTCAGGGACTGAGTGGGAGGGGCTGTAAATGTTAGTCCCCCCTACTCTCTTCCCTGTATCTAGCCATCTGCAGAGGGTGGCTGGGGGGCGCTGGCTTGGAGTCTTGGTGGCTCTGTCTCCAGTCAGGCTTTCTGTCTGTGCCTGCGGCCTGCTCCTGCTCCCTCCTGAATGACCCCTCTGCTCGCGGAGGGCGTGGCTCCTGTCCACCCACCCGCTGCTCTGAAAGCCTGGCTTCCGGGTCCCGCTTCTAAGTCCACACTCCTGTGCCGCCAGCCACCCCACGTCCTGGTCCCGTGCTCTGCCTCCAGGGCCTGTGGTGTCCCCATCCCCGGGCCCCACCCATGACCAGCCGCAGGAGACAGGCCAGTTCTTCCAGAAGAGCTGGGCTTGGCGCCTGTCTTGGGGGCCTGCTCACTTCGACATCTTAACACGTTTAGTTTTCCATTTATTCTTACTTGTGTCCCCGCCGTGCTGGGGATGGAACCCAGGGCCCTCGGCGGGGGGTGGGTGGAGTCCCTGCGTCTTTCAGTTCTGCCGCGTGGTGTCCCCACACCTCCTGGCTCCTTGTCCTGACCCCCTCACCAGGGGGCTCTGTGCTGGTGATTCTGTGTCTCCTGGTGACACGGTGCTTCCTCCCCATCAGAGCAGCCTGGAGTCTCCTTCTGCCTGCCCAGGGGGACACGGCCAGCCAGGGACAGGCGCTGGCATTAAACTTTCAGTTTCCGCTGTTTCTAACCCACGTACATGTGTAGGAGAGGCCTGGTGTTGGGAACCCCTAGGGGACTCTCCTGCACCCAGGGCCCGGCCAGCAGAGACCGTCCCCTGCCTCAGTTGCGGCTGTGCCCACAGTCCCCCTCCTCATGTTGGCTTTAAATCTTGACCCCGCTGGTCCCAGGTCCTCAGGGAGTCAGGGCCCTGCTCACCCTCAGTGACCCGTTCCTGGAGAGTGGTCCAGGGGACTGGCCTCTCTGACTCGCTCACGGGACAGATGGCACTGTTACTTGAGCGTCTCCTGTCCACTGGGAACTGGGGCAGCCTGGCAGCAGCTTGGGTGAGGAGAGACCAGGAGGCCTGACCACCGTGTGCCCTGGACATGGTGTTTGCAGCTTTGACCCCCCTGGGCCCCTGTCAGCCGGGATGTCCTGTGAAGTGCTGGTCACGTTCAAGCCCATGGTGAGTCAAAGGGCCGCGCAGGGTGCTGTTTCCACTTTTATCAAAAAAAATTCTCCCACCACCCCGAGAGGCAGAAAGCCGAGCCAGCCACATGGAGCCCCGCCCCCTGGCACGTCCCTGCAGGCTCTGCCATGGTGGCCCCTCCTGAGACACCTCTGGGCTCTTCCCCGGGGCCTTGCTGGGTGGGTGGCCGGCAGGCGCCACAGTGTGACACAGCCCGTGGGTCACGTCACAGTGGTTTACGTGGCTGGGCTGGTTCTGTTTTTCAGATAGATAAAGATCTGGAAGGAAGCATCTCATTCCTGGCTCAGACAGGCAGCTTCTCCGTCCCTCTGAAATGCTCAACGAGGAAATGCTCCGTAAGCCCCCCGTCGGCTGGTGTCTCCTGGGGTCCCTGGGGAGAGGAGCCGAGAGGGACGTGGGATCAGAGGTGCGCCACAGGGTGGGGTCCTGAGCAGCTCAGGCCAGCCCCGACAGCCCGTGTCCAGACCCCTCCGGCCACACGTGTCTCCTCTCAAGCAACCTCATGCCCCTGGACAAGGGAGTTATCGGTCTGACTTTCCCTAACACTGGACTCAGGTGCCCCAGGTTGTCATGAGCCATACTCAGGTCTGCAGCTTCTGGGCTAGGCGTGTCCCTGGGTTATGCGGTGCACTGCTTGTGCAAAGGTCTATGGTGGCCCTGTCTGTCCTGCCTGGGGCCAGGTGCAGGCTCACCCGTGAGGGGGAAGAAAGGCCAGGCTCCCGTGTCCCTGGGGGCTTCAGGTGACAGGCAGGTGGCGACTTTGCTGTAGGCTCCGTTGGTCCCCTGGCTTCTGCAAGGGCCTGCCCCTGGTGCTGGACATGCTGCCAGCCCAGAGCGGCTTACTGTGGGATCCTTTGGCAGGTGTCCCTGGACAAGGAGCTCATCAGCTTTGGCAGCTATGTGGTGGGTGAGACCACATCCCGGACCATCACACTGACCAACACCGGGGGCCTCGGCACGAGCTTCAAGTTTCTTCCAGCTTCCGAGGTCTACGAGACGGATGAAGAGTCCCTGCCCCTCCTGAAGATGGTGAGTGGGCTGCCGATTCTGACCAGCAGTGCGGCCACCAGGGCAGGGCAGCGTCTCCACCCAAACACAGCCCCATGTGTGTGAAAGTGGCTGTGAGGCGCGCCAGTCAGCCGGGATCTGGGAGGGGACAGCACAGCGCGTCCCCTCAGGCGTGGGCTCAGGGCAGCAGCTATGAGCACCAGGGCCACCCTCCCCGAGGCACCCCAGAGCCCAGGCTGGGGGCATGGCCCAGGAAGCATGGGGTGGGCCTCGTCTCCCAGGAGGGCTGTGCAGGGGCCACCCAGGAGACAGCCCTGGCCACAGCAGGGCGCAGGGTCAGTGGAGGAGCAGGTGGCCTTGCTCACTCAGCTCTAAGTACTGGAACAGCCCTAAGGAAGCAGTGGCTCCGACCCTCAGGCCTGCCTGCCCTCTGGGGTCTCACCCAGGGGAGGACAGAACCAACAGGGCAGCTGCTGCCTGGGCTGGGTGGAGAGCAGGGGCTTCAAGGGCAGGAGATGGGGGCCTGGGGGCAGAGCTTCCCCTGGGCAGGCCGGGGACGGAGTGTCTGGGGCCCCTCTGGGCACCAGGGTTCTGGGCCAGCCAGTGAGGAGGAAGGAGGATGGGCTGCCCGGGCGGCGCGGAGCCCGCTCTGGAACAGTGGCCTGGCAGGGCAGGGCAGGGCTGGGCTCCCAGCTCAGAGATGGCACCCGAGATGGGGTGTCCCTGCAGGGGACAGGAGGAGCTGTCCTGGCCAGATAAAGGAAGCGAGGGGTCAGAGCTGCCCCGGGGAAAGCCATTGCTGTGCCTGAGACCCAAACGTGCAGAACAGGAGCCACAGACCCGGCCACATCTTCCCATGGCCCCACTGGGGGTGGCTGGATGGAGGGGAGAGGTGAAGTTCAGTTCCCTTCCAGAGCAGCCTGTTCACCTACGACGACAAGGGTCCCACCAGTGTGTCCGAGCAACAGCTGGAAGGCAATGGAACCTCCCCGCTGGACACCCAGAGCCGGAAAGAGTCGGACAAGATGGAGGGTGAGGGCACCTGCAGGTGGCTGGGCACCACCCACCCCACACTCGACCCTGCCTCGACTCCCACGCTGCCCAGGACAGGCCGAGGGGAGGGACAGGAGGGCCACTCTGAACTCTCAGTGCAGCAGGGCAGCTCTGTGTGGACCACAGACCGAGGGCCCGAGAGCGTGAAGGTGTGGAGTAGTACCCAGGGCTTCCATTTTAAGCAACTGTCCCGTAGTAAGTGACAGTCGCCAAGAAAGTGACAGTCCACAGGAAAGTATTCATACGTTCAAATCCATTCTGGTTTGGGGGTGGGCTGAAATTCGCATCCATGTGGACCCTGAAGGAGCGTGAGGCGTCCAGGAGCTGGGCAGTGCGCTGAGGGCCAGGGAGTCCTGACCACGGGGCGGGTCCCTGTCTGTGGCTGGGGGCTGTGCGCTTCGTATCCACTGCAGAAGTGCACCCAGCACCTGGGGATGCCCTGCCGACTTGTGGGTGTCCCTGGTGCTGAGCTGGAGAGGGCAGCCGCCCCCTGGCCCGGCCCCCACGCCCAGCAGCGGCTCCTCCCTGGCCCGGCCCTGCTGCTGTCTCCCCGCTTCTTTCTGGGGCTCTGTGTGCCCCGGGAAGGCAGCAGTGAGCGGGCTCCCTGGTTCCAGCCCTCCTGGGACGGCGAGGCCACCCGCGCCCCGTGCACACGTCCTGCGGCACCATGTGGGCGTTTCTTCACAGACATTGCTCTGGGTGCCCTGGGCAGCCCCGTGGGGTGGGCCACTGTGGCCAGCAGCACCCCACACTCCCCACGCACCTCTGTGACCCCAGGTCGAGGGTGTACCCGCTGCTTTCAGTAGCTGTTTTCAAGGACTCTCTAAAAGTGGCCGTGCTGGTTCACGACCCCCCACCACGTGCGGCCGAGCTGTCCAGCGTGGCTGTCACTGGCCACATTGGGCCATTTATATCCACCCATCCTCCACAGTAGAAACCATTCCTCCTTCACACAAGCCACGTTTCCAGTGCTCAGCGGTGACCAGGGGTAGTGTTGTGTTGGACAGCCCAGAAATCCTGCTGGACGGCACAGTCCAGGCCCTAGAGTGTCCTGCTCTATGGCCCACATAGGAGGTCTGGCCAGGTCTGTTGTCCAGATCATCTGGACTCCTGGTGGCCTCCCAGGTCACTTGTCCCCCAGCCTGTTTCCCTGCATGAGAGCCAAGCTGCCCTCCTGCTTCCCTCTGGGGCCTTCTGGCTGCGTCCAGTCTGTCCCTAGGACTTGCTCTTGTAGCCCAGGTGCGACCTCTAAGACGTCTTTGCTTAAATTGAAATCTAAGATTTCCAAACTTATCGATCATACGTGTGTGTGCGTGTGCACGTGACCTCCTTGTCCCAAAGTCACGGAGACCAGGACACAGCTCTGAGGTCAGGCTGGGGTCCAGCTGTGGGGCAGGGCTGCGGGTGCACTTTTCCCTGTATGTGGCTGCTCTTCCTGAATGCGTGTCGAAAGGACTTGGCTTTGCCCGTGGGCCTCATGGGTACTGTGGGCACGGCCATTTCTGGTGCTGCCCTGCTCAGCTGACCAGCTGCCCCTCACTCAGCACGCCGCCCTGGCTGCTGTGGACTTAAGGCGCATGGTGAGCTGGGGAAACCTGTGTCCTGTTTCAGGAGAGTTGCTCGGGATAGTTTAGGTTCTTTGCATTTCCATATCAGTTTTAGAATCAGTTTCTTGATTTCTACAAAAAAAAAAAAAAAAAACCTAGAGCAGACGAGACGGGCTCGGAGCTGAATCTGCCCATGGACTTGGGAGGCTCGTCTTGCAGACAGCCTGTGGTCACAGTGTGGTGCTGCTCCTCATCCGCTCCCTAGTCCTCTGCCTTCCCTCGGGGCTTCAGAGGTCTTGGAGGGGAGGTCTCGTCCGTTTGGGGCCTATCAGATGTCTTTGACTTTTTCCAGGGCAGTTCTGACGTTTGGATTGTTTCTCCTCTCCTGTTGCCTTCCAGAACAAGAGGGCACCTCTGCGACGGGGGGCTTGGGAATGTTTCCCAGCGAGCAGCAGGCAGAAATCACGCTGGGGGAGGTGAGCCCACCCGCCCTGCTCACACCCCGGCTGCCAGAGGCTGGAAGGGGACCCGCCCCCCCACCCGGCACCAGCCCCCCCACCCGGCACCAGCCCCCCCACCCGGCACCAGCCCCAGCTGCGTCCTCCTCACCCCACCCCTGGGCCCTCCCACCTGGTTGGAGGCAGGCTGGAACCCAACCTCCAGGAACCCTGGGTCTCAGCCAGGGCAGTGCCCTGCCCCCCCATGAGGACTGGGCAGGACCAGAGCAGCGGGGCTGGTTTGCGGATGCAGAGGACACTGACCGCAGACCCTCCAGGATGGAGCGCACTGTGAAGGCAGGAGCCAGGGGGAGGAGGGGAGGGGCAGGCTGTCTTCTCCCGCAGCAGGGACCCCATGGCAGCAAGTCGTCAAGGGAAAGGCCAGGCTCCAGTGCCCGTGTGTCACCTAGTGGCCCCATAGACAGGGTGCTGCCCCCACCCTCCTGTGCTGTGGCGGCAGTAAGGGTCAGGCCAGGAGGCCTGCTGACCCAGGGCACCTCCCTTTCATGCAGATAACAGAGGGGGAGATCGGCCCTTTTAGCTCCATCAGAGTGCCCATCATGTTCACCCCGGTCACCCCAGGGGAGGTCCAGACCAAGTTCAAGGTCATGTTCAAGAATCCCAAGTGCCCAACAGTGAGTACCCCTGCTGCCACACGGCCCACACAGCCCCAGTGCTGGGAGGGCCCACGTCCACAGCCACGTGAGCCACCCTGTTCCTTGGACCGTGAGCTGGCGGCACAGATGGCTGGCACCCAAGCTGATTCACACTGGCACACACATGCAGCTTGCACATGATGCATGTGCACCAGCACACACATACATGTACACGCATGCTCAAGCACACACATGGAACCCTTTTTCCATTCTTCTCTCTCTTTTTTTTTTTTTGTCCTGGGGGTTGAACCCAGGGGTGCTCTTCCACTGAGCTACTCTTCTTACCCAGACTCCCCAGATCTCAGGAGTCGGAGTCTGGGGACAAAGTGACAGATGAGGAAACGGTTGCCTCCACTCCTCCAGTGCCCCTGCAAGAATTCCGAGCTCTTCTATAGCTACAAGTCTGTATCAGGGATAAAATTTTCACACCTAATGGGTAAAATTTTTACGTTTTTCTGTATAGTGCATTATTGTGTAATGAAAAATTGCGTTTTTGCTTTTTTGCAATGCTGGGGACCAAACCCAGGGCCTGTGCACACTTGGCAAGTGCTCGATCACGGAGCCACATCCCAGTTCTTTTTCAAATTTTAAGAGGTTCTCAGGTGCACAGGCAGAACTTGTACTTGCAATCCTTCTGCCTCAGCCTCCCAGGTAGGTGGGAGTGGATACAGGTGGTGCCCCTGTGACGGGCTCTATTCTATTGTTTTAAGTTTGAAATTTTTGTTAATAAAAATAATTTTAAAGTATAGTGACACGAGGGGCTGGGGTTGTGGCTCAGTGGTACAGCACTTGCCTAGCACGTGCGAGGCCCTGGGTTCGATCCTCAGCGTCACATAAAAACAAACAGACAAATAAAGGTATTGTGTCTAACTACAAATAAATAAATAAATATTTTTTTAAAGTATAGTGACATGGAAAAAATGCCTCAGAACTCTGAAATGTGGCTTGGTGTCATTATTGACCTTCCAACATTTATAATTTGAGTTACAAGAAGCCGACCCACTGAATTTTCCTGCTGAACTCTCTCAGCACTGGCTGCTCTGCAGGGGAGGACTCCCATTGAGTCACATGTCCAAATTCAGCTGTATTTCAGAGCCACAGGCGTGGCCCTGGATGTGCCAGTCTGGGTGGCCAAGCCCAACGTGGACTTGAAGATCTGCATGTACGACCGGCTCTACCAGGACTCCGTCCCCATTTACACGCGGTGAGCCCCCTGGTGGCCAGCAGGAGCGCCGCACCTGTGGACCAGCAATAGCCGTTGCCAAGGGTCCCCTAGGACGACCAAGGCAGGAGATCCTGAACATGGGGGAGGTCCCAGGGTCATGGGGGTTGCCACCACGGGAGGCAGGAGGGCCAGACAGACCTTAAGATGGAAAAGGAGGCCCTGGAAAGCGGGAAGGACCCCTGGAGCTACAGAAGCACTGGCCTGCCCACACCTCTGTGAACTTCTGAACCCCAAGGTGCTGACAGAATGGGTCTGTGTGATGTTAGGCCCCTGAGTTGCAGAAAGTTGTTTCAGCCACTGCAGGCGCCAGGCAAGGGTCTCAGTGCCCTCGGGGACACAGAATGTAGTGGTGACGGGGCCACAGAAGAGGATCTGGGAGGGATGCGTGGTGGTCAGCAGCACTTGGCCACCAGCCAGATGGGTCCGGAGGACACAGTCTCTGAGCACCAGGCGTCCTCCCTTCATGAAGGCCACGTTCCCGGTGGCAGGTCACCTGGGGCCTGGCCAGCTGTGGGCTCCCCACGGGGCGCTGCTCCCCGGACCACTGTGGCTTGACTTCTCCACCTCCATCTCTGGGGCACTGCGGGCTCGGTTGTCAGGGTCAGGGCTGGGTGGGGTCTGGGGGACACCAGTCCCAGACCCTGTACAGCCACAGGACAGACAGGAGCATGCAGAGCATTCTGAAGAGGAACCTGAAGGCTCTAGAAGGTTCTGGAACCATTGCCTACAAAACCCCAGGCCGACTACCTCCCTGGTCCTCCCTCTTTGGGCCTCCTTTCCCTCCTTTGACTGAATGGTGCTTCCTTTCACAGGGACAAAGAAGGACACCTTAGGGGCAGGCAGGGGCTGCTGGCCACCACAGGGAGGTCTGGCAGACCCCAAGGGCAAGCAGGGTTAGGAGAGCTGGGAGCATCTGACTTCCGCTGGCCGGTCCTGACTGGGGGCCCGGCCACCCAGAACCTCCAGAGTGCCCAGACAGAGCCCTGGGCAGGGGGAGGCAGCGCCCCAGCCCCCTCCAGTTCCATGTGTCCCTGGCAGGAGGTTGCCCCAAAAGCACTCCAGCCTCTCAAATCTGGGGCACATTTCAGTTATTTTTATTTTTAAGAATTTCCCGTCAGGTTTCATCTCAGAGATAAGTGACTCGTAAGAAGCAGCTGCAAAAGGTGCACGGGGTGCTCTTGTGAGCGCCTCGCACTCAGGCCTGTCCAGTGAGGCCTGGACCCCTGACGGGCGCCCTGTGACCTGCTTAGATCCAAGGTGGCCCTGCGCCTAAAGTTCGAGGTGTGCAGGGAGCTGCGAGGCCACATGGAGCTCCTGCCCGAGATGGGCTACATCCAGGCCCAGTCGTCCTACTCAGTGCAGCTCAAGTTCCTGCCCCGGTGGGTCGCCTCAGCCCAGTGCCCGGGGTCAGGGTCTGGGCTCAGGCTGTCGGCAGGACACGTGGGCCAGCGGCTGGGCGGGAGCAGGGTGCTGGGCCGTCTGTGGAAGCCAGAGCTGTGGGACTTGCCTGGGGGCAAGGCATCATGGCAAAGGGCGTTTTTTTCTTTCTTTCTTGTATTTTTCCCCAATATTTCTATAATGATAGGAATTTCCTTTTGTAATCAGAGAGCAAACCATTTTATTGTTTCATTTATGGAACCCAGGGAGACTTTACCACTGAGCTACAGCTCAAGTCCTGTTTGGAGGCTGGGGCTGGGTCTTGCTAAGCTGCCAAGGCTGGCCTCCGACCGAGGCTCGGGAGGGCAGGGGTGTGCCACACGCCTGGCAAGAGCAGACCCTGTTCTACACTGACTTTGCAAGGCGCTGTGTGGGACTTGTCTAGTGGCACTCCCCGTCCACCTTGAACACAGCTGCTGAACCTGCTTGTTTATTTAAGTACAGCTGTGTGTGTGCGCAGCCTCCTGGAGAAGCTTGCGCACCTGGGTCCCCTGTTGTGTGGCTTTGGAGGGTGTCACAGCGCCACGTTGGGCCAGCCTCCCCACTGTCTCCTGACAAGGAAGAGAGGTGAGTCGGTGTGCCCTCTCCTGCAGGCACTCCCTCCCCGAAGATGCTGGCAAGTACTTTGACAAGGAGAGCAGAGTCCTGGAGGCTCCGATGACCATCTGGGTGGCCGACCAGGTCTGCACAGGGCTCTTCCTGGGAGGGACGCTTGCCCCCGGGGAATGGAGCAGTGCTCAGGGGGCCAGGCCCTGTGCCCAGTGAGGCCTCCGAGGCAGCGCCTGGCTGCAGCGCCCATCCTCGCCTTCTGTGGCCTGCCGGGCAGCTCTGCCTCCTGCCACCGGGCACCTGCACAGCAGGGGAGGGGGACGGTGCTCGGGGACACTTACCCACCCTTTGTACCACAGATAAAGCCAGTGGGCTTCACCGTGCAGGCCATCGTCACCACCTCTGACCTGGAGCTCAGCCCCTCGGAGCTGGACTTTGGCCACTGCACCATCTACGAGGCCATCAGGGCCGAGATCGTTCTCTACAACCACTCGCTCCTGCCCCAGGAGTTTGGGTTCGTCGGACTCCCCAAGGTGCCCGCTGAGCTCAGCCCCAGACATGGCGCCCAGGCACCAGCCACCTCCTGCCTGCACACCCTGCCGCCCTGCCCAGCCGTCCCTCTCCCGGGCCCTGCCGCCCTCCCTGGTCCTCGTCTCCCCAGCTCTCTCCCTCTCCTGGCGGGGGGGCACCCATGGGGCTCCGGACCCTCACCCATCCCTGCCTTCCAGAACTTTCCCTTCCCGGGCTGCCCCCACATCCACTCTCACACACATTTGCTCACATCTGTGCGTGTGCGCGCGCGCGCACACACACACACACACACACAGAGGATCTCAGGCACACTCACCTGCGACCCCCGTCTCACAGCCGTGTGCCCTCACACCTACCCTGCACGTGGGTCCACACGCCCCCACACTGCTGACCTGCACCGTCTTCACTGTGGAGTTGGTGTCTTCCATTTCCCAGTTTGTGGACATCCAGCCCAATGACGGCTTTGGGACAGTCCTGCCCCTGGAGGCTCTGCAGCTGGATGTGGTCTTCCAGCCCACCAAGGCCAGGGAGTACAGCTTCGAGCTGGTCTGCAAGTCGGAGGTGAACAGGTGAGCCTGCCGCCCGGCCCCCACAGGGGGGCAGCCGAGAGCTGGCAGCCCATGTGCGATTTTCACACGCTTGACACACTCATATTTTTCAATTAGTTGAATACTAATAATAATGTGACTATCTCCACCCAGAGAGATATTTTTTTAATATTTAGAGCCTGTGTCACAGATTATAAAAATATGTATTGAAATATTTTCAGCAACACATTTTCATTATAGAACAAGATGACAAGATAATCAGTACCACCCTTTAAAGCATAAAAAATAACGCATTCGGGGCTGGGATGCCGTTCCCTTCCGAACACTTGCCTGGCATGCACTGGGCCCCAGGTTCAAAGCCCAGCACCCCCCACACACACCACGGGATAAAAGCTACGGGGGAAGCCAGGCGTGGACGCGGCACCTGTAATCCCAGGGCCTCAGAAGACTGAGGCAAGAGGATTGCAAGTTCAAGGCCATTCTCACAACTTAGCAGGTCCGCATCTCAAAAGTAAACAGGCTGGGGATGGAGCTCAGCGGTAAGGCACCCCCAGGTTCACAATAAATAAGTAGATAAATGCTGATGGGGAAAGTGCTGTGGCCACAGAAGTGCAAAGAAAACACGGATGTGAACTTTCCCAGTGGTCAAAATAGGGGCATCTCACGGGGCATGGTGGTCTACCTCTGTAACCCCAGAGACTCGGGAGGCTGAGGCAGGAAGATTCCAAGTTTGAGGCCAGCCTCAGAAACTTCGGGAGAGCCTCAGAAACTTAGCAATATCATTGTATCAGAATAAAAAATAAAATTAAAAGGGCTAGGAGGTGTGGCTCTGTGACAGAGCACCCCTGGGTTCAATCTCTAGTGCACTCCCCAAAAATGTGAATTTCTGTTCTTGTTCTTTAACGGAAGGTGGCAGGAATCATCTCACTATGGTATGCAGGACTCCCTGCGTCGATTTAGAGATAAGTTTTAATTTTAAATGTCAATAAATATTTAAAACAATAAACCACAAATCCATCGCCTCCTTTACAATCACCTAAGCTTGTTTTAGCCATCTACCAAAATCGGGCACAGGGAGGCAGGGTATTTCCCACATATCCACAGGGTAGCAAGCCACTGTGACAACTCAGGAGCAGGTCCGGGCCCGTGGGGCACTGCACAGTGCCCATCCTGGCCACCCTCCTGGCACGTGGACGCCCTTGTGTGGCTAGGCCCTGCTCACACCGATGACTTGCAGGTGCTTCAAGCTGTCCTGCCGAGCTGTGGGTGTCCACCCGCCTCTGGAGCTGTCCCACTACCAGATCAAGTTCGCAGCCACCTCCTTGTACGACACCTCCGTGGCCAGGCTGTATGTCATCAACTCCCACACGGGTGCGAGCTCCCTGCCCCGCTCGGGGCCCCGGGTCAGCTCAGAGGAGGCTTCCCCCGTGGGAGCCACGTCTTTTGAGTTTCTGTTGCCCTCGGACTTGCCCATCACCATCTCACCCTTGGTGGGGACCGTGTTGCCAGGAAAGGTGAGCAGGGGCTAGTCCAGTGGGCTGGAGGTGAAGGCTCGGGCCACCTGCCATTGCCCTGAGGGGTGGGGTGCCTGGTCAGACCCACCCTGGCACACAGGGACTTAGCCCCGGCAGGGCTGGGAAGCCTCCACAGCCACCGAGTGGGGGTTGGCCATGTGCCCTCCGCCACCTGCCCTCGGCCCACCTGAACGGCAGGCAGGGAGCATCGCCGGCAGCTGCCCCAGCAGGCACATGTCTGGGGGCTGAAGAAGGGTGGGCAGGCCTCAAACCAGCTGAACGAGACCTCACAGTGGATGGGCATGGGGAGGCTCAGTAGGGCCTGTCCTAGGAGCCCAGGGTGCTCTGCCTGGACCCAGCAGGGCTTCTCTCAGTGGACACAGGCCTGTAACATGCTGCTCACTAAACAGAAAATGCTACTTAGATAAGGGTTCCCGTGTCCGAGTGGGTGCTGCAGGTGGTGGCTGTCTCTCCCTCCCCCTCTCCCTCCCTCCTCCTCTCTCCCTCTGTCCCATCCTGTGCCCCCACGCCTTGGCTGTGCTGAGCAGGTGGGGTGGGGTGGTGAGTGAGCCCTCCTGGACTCTGTCCTGGAGAAGACTTCTTCTGGGACTCGCTGCAGACGGGCTAACAGAGCCCCAGAGTGGAAAGGCTGGTGCACACAGGACTCGAGTTGGGGACAAGAACTCACCCTGACACTCAGGGGCTGGAAAGGAAGTTTCATTCTCACTTGAGCCTCAAGGACAGGGGTGAGGTCCTGGCCCACTCAGGACCCTGCTCTCAGTGCCCACCCACACGGTGGAAGGCTGGATATCCTGTGCTGCAGCCCACCCCCCTTTCTTTGGGGCAGTGGTCAGGGGGGCCTTCCTGGAAGGGGCACATCTAGGCTGAAATCTCAAAGTGGGGAGCTGTTAGGAGTACCCAGGGCCAAGGGAGGGAGCAGGGAGCTGAGGGGGGCAGTGCGCCAGCAAGGGCCACCGGTGCCCTCTGGGCTCCTTGAGCAGGGTGGCAGTCCCAGTGTCTCCCTGCAGAGATGCCTGGTCCAGGTGGCCTTCCGGCCTGTGCTGTCCCATGAGGTGATCCACGAGGAAGCCCTCCAGATCCTGAACAAAGAAATCCAGAACAAACTGGTGCGTGGAGCCTCAGGGGAGGGGCAAGGTGGGCATCGGGGGAAGGGGGCAGGTGCAGGAGTGCAGGCAGACTCCGGCACTGTCTCAAGAGGGTAGAAGGTCTTCTTGCAAGACCCCTCCCTCCTCCTGAAAGCAGCACTGGGCAGCGGGAGTTGGGCCACCCCAGAGGGTGGCCAGGACTCTGACGTGGGCAGGACTGGGATAAATGCAAGGCCAGCCTCCCTTCACCACCAGGGGAAGGCACAGAAGCTGCCTCAGGGAGACGCGCCCCACAGACGGCTCGTGCACACGGCTCTGACCCTGGAGAGCTGTGTGGTCGCTCCTTGACTGGCCATGTGTTTTCTGTGGTGCACACATCAGTGCCGGGAGCATAGGCTTTCTGCAGGTAGAGAGGCTCAGAGAGGCTCAGAGAGGCTCCAGGGACCTGGAACCCCGGTCCACAGACTCCCTGTCCCTCTTTGCCTCAATTTCCCCATTGCAGACATGAGTCAGTGGGCAGTCTGGGGTCTCTGCACTGGGGCTCATGGCCCCGCACTCTCACCTGTCTTCATTGCTTGACCCCCAAACCCTGCCCTTGGCCTCTCCTGGAGGCAGTTCTTGGGTCCTGTTTGCTCCAAAGCTGAACTGGTGGGGCCTGCCCCTCAGCAGTCAGCTGGGCCTGCGAGACTGGGCCCCGGAGCAGCCTCAGGGGCAGTGTGGGGTCTGCAGACACAGGGCAGAGCACCTGAACAGCCCCACAGCCAGCCGCCCCCCTCACAGTTCCGAAAGGATACATTCAGCCAAAAGAAGGAGCTGTGGAGACAGTCCCTCTCTGTGCTCCGACTGCGGACCCGGGAACGGATGCTGCAGGCTGTCGCCTCCCAAGCCCCCCAGCAGGAGAAGCAGGAGCTCAGGGTCAGGTGGGCTGGGAGAGGTCGCCCCCGGCCCCAGTGGGCTTCCCCACAGGCCCCCGCCGCACAGCTGCCTGAGACTCGTGCTGGAGGTCTAGGCCTGCAGGCTCCCAGCACCCATCCAGGTGCTCGCTCCTGGGCACCGGCTGCCGTTCTTGGGCCTGGTCACCCTCTGAACAGATCCCCTTCCTAGGCTGACTCCAGGGGCTGGAGCAGGGAGGAGCTCGCCGGCCGGAGGAGGGGGGAAGACCCGCTCATCGGAGCACACAGGGCAGCCACCACCCAGGACCCTTACCCCTGTGGTCCCCCCTGGAGAGGCCACTTGAGCCCAGGGTCCTAGGAAGCAGGTCCTTGGGGATCCCGTTTGTGGAGCCCAGCAGGGACCTGTGGCCCAGGTGGGCAGTGAGCAGGGGCCACAGCACACTTTGTCCCTCTCGTTCCAGTTCCCATGAGTACCAGATTGCTCAGTCTGCCCTGGTCCGAACTTTCCAGGCGAAGTTTGACAAGTTTGTGGTCCCATGTGTCATGGCCAGTGGTGACGTCAAGGACAGGAAGGGATCCGAACCCCTAAGTTTCAGGTGTGGGACACTGAGCCAGGAAGGGGCACGGTTAGCTGCAAAATTGCTGCCCCCCCTCAACTACTGAGCAGATCTGGAGCCCAGGTGGGCATGGCTGCCCTGTGTGCCTCCAGTGTGCCCTTGCCTACCCCAGCCCCCACAACACCCTGTACCTGGAGCTGTGGTGTCCAGCCGTGGCTCCGTCTATCGTGGTGACATCTAACAAAGGCAAGACCACCTTCAACTTTGGCGATATTGCTGTAGGTGAGTCCTGACGGACCCTGACATTAGCACCCCTCCTTCCCCTACCCCAGGGACCCAGCCCTACCAAGCCACCACCAGCCATGCTCCACCTGAGGGACAGACGCTCCTTGGGCCAGGACTGACAGGACTCTCCCTGCCGTTTCAGGACACCGTGGTATAAAGAAGATCTCCCTCCAGAACATCTGCCCCGAGGACCTTGCCGTATCCTGGTCCACACCTGGCGCAGGCAGCGCTGGGGCGGGAGCAGGTCTGGGTGGGGCTGGGCAGGGCCCGGAGCCACCAGGTCTCCCTCCTTGACGTGGGCCTCAGGTGGAGTTCTCGGTGCTGAACCCCTGTGGCCCTTTTGCTCTGCTGAACCCCTTCAGCAAGCTGTGCTCAGGCGAGACCCAGGTGCTGATGCTGTCCTTCTCACCCCGCGAAAGCATCCTGGTGAGCGCCAGCCCCCAGACCCTCAGAGCCAGGGTCCTGGGAAGCAGGTGTGGCCTTGGGAGTCCCCCGCTGCAGCCCTGGGCTCTGGGCACTGCGGACACCACTGCGCCCTCAGGCCCGGACTGATGGAGCAGTCTGAGCAGCATACCCTCCTAATGCCCTTGCTGGCACGTCAGGGGCAGCGAGGGTCTCAGGGCTGTTTTGCAGGGGCAGGCCACCAGGCAGCTGCTCACAGACAGAACTAGGGCTCACCACGTGCCTGGCAGACAGGTGGCTGCTCCTTGCTAAAGGACGTGGTCTCCTCAGGCTCAAGAGACACTGGACATCATCAGCAAGAAAGGCACCCTCACGCTCACCCTCACGGGCCTGGGCGTGGCGTCCATGGTCTCATGCTCCATTGAAGGCCATGTGCTCAGCATGGGCTATGTGCTTGCCAGAGAGTCCATCTCCTCGAGTTTCAAGGTGAACAGTCCTGCCAGGGGTCAGCCCTGCTTTTAGAAGTCCCAGCTGGTTGGGGAGCCAGTGGAGGCACAGGCTGTCCCCAGCAGCTGTCTCTCTGCTGCTGCCCTCTTGAGTAGGGGACGTGGGGCCCTGGCTTCTGCAAAAGCTGAGGTGGTCCCTTCCTGCGCCCTCTGCCTCGGGGCCTCTGCTTGGAGCGCTCTGCCACCACTCTCCTGCTTTGTACTGAACACTGGGTCCTTTTGAGCTCGATTCCGGAACCCCTGAGGGGCAGGAAGTATATCAGACCTCCAGGAAGAGGCCACCCTATCCTGTGGGCTCCCTGTGCATGAGGGAGGTCCCGACTCCTGCTGCCCCTCTGAGGTCTGCCCCAGTCTTGGGCTCAAGCAGCTTGAGAGGACCTCTGCCTCCCAGACTGCTCAGGTGGGATCCCGGGAGCACAGCCAGGGCGGAAGTCCTGTTCAGAAGGAGCTCGCAGGGGCAGTGAGGGCGGGGAAGAGACAGGGGAGGGTGTGCGGTCAGTTAAAGAGGAGCTCTGCCTTCAGGACTGAGGGCAGCACAGAGCTGGTCACATGGCTGGACAGGAAAGTCGGCCACCGACTTGGGAAAGAGCTAAGGCGGGATGGAGGAGGTACCCACAGCCCAAAGCACTGGTTGGAGACACAGCCAGGTGGAACTGGGAGGTGTAGCCACCTGGTCCCCGGTGGAGTGCAGCTGCAGGTGACCAGATTACAGGCACTGACTACAGGAAGAGGACAGGCCAGGTGCGGGCCAGTTAGTGACACCAGGCCCTCCTGGCAGCTGCAGAATGACTCCTCGCTCCCCATCAAGTTCTCCATGCGGCTGGAGAGCCTCTCCAGCACCAGGGCCCTGGCCCGACAGCAGCTGCCTCAGTTCCTGGCCTCTCCCACCCAGAGGACGGACTTGGTTGGTGAGCCGCTGGGGCCGTGAGGAAGGGTGCCGGGTAGGCTGGGCCTGAAGGGGAGGAGAGCGGGACAGGGGGGAGCATCGAGCATTAGGCGTGCGGGAGCTGTGGGCAGGACGGGTGGCTGGGCTGGGGGACTCAGTAAGTGGGGAGGGACTGGTGTGCAGAGGCGCCAGGGCCAGATGGGGAGTCAGGTGGGGAGGTGCTGAGGCTGCAGGTGGAGTTCAAGCAGCAGGACTGGGGACATCCAGTGCCCGACCCGCAGGCCCACAGAACCACAATGGCCAGAGCGTATTCAGTGTGGTCCCAGTGGAAGGTGTCATGGAGCCGGGGAAGGCGCAGGACTTCACTGTGACCTTCAGCCCGGACCACGAGAGCCTCTACTTCTCTGACCGGCTCCAAGTGGTGCTCTTCGGAAAGGTGCTCCAGGGGACAGCTCCCCCTCCTCCAGGCATCTGCCCCTCCCTAACCCTCCCCTGTGCCTCCCACTTCCCAGGCCAAGGGCATCACATTGGGGGTCATCAGGTAGAGAGTCTAGCACCACTGGTCCTATGGGGCTCCAGTCTGAGCCAGCTTTAGCCCCTGCCTTGGAGCTAGAGGGACAGACAACTATGCTTCTTGTCCCCAGAAAATCTCCCACCAGATCCTCCTGCAGGGTGCTGCCCGGGAGCACATGATGTTTGTGGAGGGCGGAGACCCACTGGATGTGCCCGTGGAGTCTCTCACTGTGACGTCTGCCCTCGACCCAGAGCACAGAGAGGGTGAGCCTGGCATGGGGCGGGGAGAGGAGGTCATAACCACCTCAGCGAGTAGCAGGCAAGTGGGCACACCCAGGCCCAGCAGAGGATGGCAGGATTCCCTGCTCATCACCTGCAGAGCCAGGCAGGACTGGCACTGCCAACCAGCCTGCCCTCCACCCCTCTGCCTGACCCTCGGCAACTGCCCTCACTGCCCTGGGACCCACCAGAGTGGTCCCAGCTAGTCCCTCCCTCTCCAGACGTGGAGGAGCTGAAACCCATCCTGCTGACCCTGGACTACGTCCAGTTTGACACAGACACACCAGCCCCACCCGCCACCCGGGAGCTGCAGGTGGGCTGCATCAGGACCACCCAACCATCTCCGAAGAAGGTGATGGCACCCCTGGCCTTCCCTGCCCTGGGCAGCCCTGGCCTCTCCTAGCCTTGACCCTCTAGCCATGCCGACGCCCTGCAGATGGTGGAGTTCAGCCTGGACAGTGTCCCGTGGCTGCAGCACAAGGGCTTCTCCATAGAGCCTTCCAAGGGCATCGTGGAGCGCGGACAGACCAAGACCATCAGCATCTCCTGGGTGCCCCCTACGGACTTTGATGTAGGTGCCGGAGGGAGCTCCAGGCTGGGAGGGTGCCAGCCCTGCCCCACCAGTGTGGGGGCAAGACAGGCAGAACGGCAGGAAAGAGGGGCCTCTGCCCAGGGTGCCCACCGGCTGAGAGTCCCCTCCTTCCTATTCCCTCCTGTTCTAGCCGGACCATCCTCTCATGGTATCAGCCCTGTTGCAGCTCAAAGGGGACGTGAAGGAGACCTACAAGGTCATCTTTGTAGCCAATGTGGTGACTGGCCCCTGAGACCAAGGAGCAGCTCCATGAGCCCCTCGCATTCTCCCACCCACCCCTAAAGCCCTCAGAGGCTGTCGGCCTGGCCAAACACCCCAGGGGCCGGGACCTGGGCATCCCCTGCTGGGCAGGTTCAAATAGCCTCCTGAATGGCCCCACGACCAGGGTTCGCCAATCCATGGCCACCTCCTGCTGCACTGGACTCAACAAGCCCAAGGCCCAAGAGCACCCCTCTCCCTGAGCCCTCAGAACCAGGGATAAGTCTTGGTCAGCTCACACTGCTCCTGGCCAGAGACCCACACTCACCAGAACCTGCCCAGACTTCGGAGGCCCCTAGGAAAGCCACCCCCACAGGCCTGTCAATAAACTCCAGGAGCCAACCATGCCACTGCAGTATGGATGACCAGCCCAGCGGACAGGATAGAGCTCTGGGAAGTAGCCCCTACCTACACACCTGCGTGCGTGCACATTTATGAAGCAGCAACCTGCTGGGCGGGGACCTCCTGGATGGTGGGAATCTGCCCAAACACAGGGAGATGCCCAAACTTGGATCACAGGGACAACAGCAGGCAGCACAGGGCGCTGGGGGCACAGGATTGGAGTTGGGATTGACCCGGGCTCCGAGTGGTACAGGGAAAAGAGAGAAGGGGAGAAGGGACTCCAAAATCCAGGGCAGGCCCCTTAGTCCTCCTGGGACCTCCAAAGTCCCAGGACCCTGGCCTCAAACAAGGATTTAGCAAATATGTCAAGGGCCCAGCTCACCTGTACTCCTCACTCAGGCCCATCCAGGGGCCAGAATGAGGCCCAGCTTGTGAGTCTGGGCCTCAGCTTGTCTGAGAACCCTGGATTCTGCTTTCCGGGTTCTGATCCACGCTCCAAGGGAGAAAAATCACTTCCAGCCCTGAGATGCTCCTACACACGCACCTACCACCTACCTGCTAGCTCTTTTCCTCAAGAGAGTGACTTGCTGGGCACAAAGCCAGCCTGGCCCCCTGCCATCCCAACCCAGGGCCAGCCATCGGAGCAAATGGAGGGGTAGTGTCTCTGGTGCCTGCTCAGTGCCCTTGGCATTAGAAGCCGGTTGTCGCCTCTGAGTGACATGGACGCTGTAGCATTTTGCAGGATTTCTGTCCAGAAGACCAAAGAGTGACAGACCCAGGCCCCTTGCTGCCCCCACTAGGGCTGACCAGCATTGACTGGCCCCCCTCCCGGCCCCCAGACCCTAGATGTGCTTCTTGGCCAGATGGGAGGGGGTGGCAGGGTCCACCGGCCATGTCAGGCCTCAGAAGGAGGTACTCCGCAGAAGATTCTCCCTCCTGTGAGACAGCAGAGCATACCTGGCTCAGGACTCCAGGCTCTGGCCCAGACTCAGGCTGTGCTTGGGTGTCCACTCCTCCTTCCACTCCTCCCGCCACTCCGGTGCTGGCCCTGCAAGATCAAGCACAGTCAAGGCAGGAGGAAGGAGGGTCAGCAGCCAAGCTCAGCCAGTTGCAGGACAGGCCAGCGCAGCACCAAGGAGACCTACCGGCACAGGGCCCAGGAGGCCCGCTTCAAGCCTGGGTGACCCTGGGCCTGGGAGGCACCAGGCGGGGCTGCAGAGAGCCTCGGCTTTCCAAGGGCGGGACCGGGGCAGGGGCGGGGCGTCAGGGGCGGGGCTCGCACGGAGCGGAGCAATCCCCGGGAGCGGGCGGGCCGTGGTGGGCGGGGCCTCGTAAAACCCTGAGCCAGCCAGGCTCGGCTCCGGCGTCAGCGCGGAGCATGGCCCCGGGGCCACCTGCTGCCCGTGGGATTCTGCTGCTGCTGCTGCTGCTGCCGCTCCTGCCGTTGCCGCAGGTGGGTTGGGCCGCGCGTGAGATTCGGGCACTCGGGGTGGGTCTGCGTTCGGCCACGCCCCGCCTGGGCTCATCCCTGTCCCCGCAGGTGGCGCTGGGCTCCGCGGACCGCAGCTGCGACCCTTCGGACCAGTAAGTCCGAGTGGGGATGAGGGAGGCGGGGCCTAGCCCGCGCCGCGGGGAGGTTTGGGTGGTGAGGTCGTCGGGGGCCGGTGCCCACCTGCTCCAGGTGCTGCTGTCCCTGCAGGTGCCCTTCCCAGGCCCGCTGGAGCAGCCTGTGGCACGTGGGGTAAGTAGGCCGCTGCTCAGAGCCGCTGGTCAGATGGTTCACCTCCGGGAGAGACCCTGTTGGAAACATGAGACCCCACACGGCACCTAGTCGCCTCTGCTGGTGCTGCCGGCAAGGCTCAGGGCCCTGGGCTGGCTCATAGCAAAGCCTGGTCACAGCCACCAGAAGGCACAAGGATTGTGCAGTTGACTGGGGACAGTGTGTCCTGGGATTGAGCCCAAGGCCACCCCTGGCCAGCCCTGGAGAGACAGTAGGGCAGGCCCAGCAGCCGGCGGCCAGAGCAGGCGGGTTTCTCCAGTCTGGCCCTGGCCAGGGAGGTCTCTGGCATGGAAAGACATTCTCTGGGTTTCTTTTTGCCTGTTGTCCCATCTTAGGTGGCTGGGCCACAGTTGGCCCCAGGGTGCAGCTGCCTGGTGGCCGAGGGTCAGTCTGGTGGTGGGCCTTGCTCCTCTTGCCAGGCTCATCCTGCTCGCTGTCCTCCTGCTGCTGCTGTGTGGAGTCACCGCTAGCTGCGTCCGGTTCTGCTGCCTCCGGAAGCAGGTGCACACACAGACACACCTGCCCCCAGCATGGCAGCCCTGCGACCTCACGGTCATCCCTGTGGACAGTGACAGCCCTGTGCATAGCACTGTGACCTGTGAGTGCCTGGTGGCCCACCAGCCAGCAGTGGGTGGGGGCTTAGGGTCGTGAATGCCAGCCCCACCTCCATAAACGCATTCTGGTTCCCTGCAGCCTACAGCTCCGTGCAGTACCCACTGGGCATGCAGCTGCCCCTGCCCTTTGGGGAGCTGGACCTTGACTCCATGGTCCCTCCTGCCTATAGCCTATGTGCACCTGAGCTGCCACCCTCCTATGATGAGGCCATCAAGATGGCAAAACCCAGAGAAGAGGAGCTGGCCCCCTCCCAGAAACCCGGAACTCTTCCTGGGACCTCGGGCCTGGAGACCACTCCAGGGCCCCCGGAGCCAAGCCCCAGTGTTCAACAGCCCAGCAGTAGTCCCTGCCCCTTGAAGCAGGCAGAAGGGCCCTCCTAGAGCCACAGCACTTGGAGGCCTGACTCCGGGAGCCCAGGTCCCCCAGCCTGCCCCATTCTGCTTTCCCCCGGGACGTCAGCCCTCCAGCCCGCTGCTGCAGACCTGGCACGCCAGCCAGCCAGCCAGCCAGCCAGCCAGCCAGCCCTGTGTCAGCCACCCCCGAGGGCGGGCTGATGCTCTCAGTTCGAGCCCCTGGCCAGGCCCCATCAGGTCCTCATCCTGGAGGAGGCCCTAGGGGCCCTCTGTGGTGTCCATGGCTTTTTGGAGACAGAATAAAATTTATGTCTGAATGGTCTCTACCTATATGGAAAGGGCTCTGGGACCCCGAGGCTCCAGGAGGGCCCCAAGGCAGTTACCCCCAGTGTGGCAGGCAGGGCAAGCATGAAGCCATCTGACCTTTAGGCTTCTGTTCAGAGACCAGGTCAAGTGTCTCAGCAGAAGTGACCAGGGCCATGTGCCTGTGGCTGCCCTAGAAGACGCTTCTCCAGACCCACCCCATGGCCACCCCTCCCTCCAGGTTGGGGACAGTGAAGCACACAGGAGTCAGACTGCAGCATTTATTTGACACAGTTAGGGGCAGGGCAGGCAGTGGCAGGCCTCCTATAGCCACAGCAGCTGCTCTTACTGAACCAGCTTGAAGGACTCTCCGGTCATCATGGCCACGAACTCTGGGGGCAGAGGCACGGGTCAGCAGCCTGGATGGCCTGGCCGCTCAGCCCCAGGGCCTGCCCCACTCACCCTCATAGTCGATGGTTCCGTCTCCGTCCTTGTCCGCCTCCTTCATCATCTGCTCGGCCTCCACCTCATTGAGGGGCTCACCTGCATTCATGAGCACGTACCTGCCGGATCCTCACACTGAGCCACTCCATGGGCCCTGCCCGTGCCCTCCTGTGCCCACCCCACCCTCCAACCCCTCCACCCTACTTGAGCGTGTTCCAGTCGATGTAGCCCTTGCTCTCCTTATCGAAGACCCGGAACGCTGCCCTCAGCTCTCCCTCCTGGTTCTGGGCCTTCTCATGGTAAATCCCCATCAGCGCCAAGAAACCATCACAGTTGAAGAAGCCTTTGTCTGCAAGAAGTCCGTCCCCCGTCCCCCCTCAAGTAAGGGGTGGGCTGGGCCCCACTCCACCCCTCCGGTGGCTCTGTCTCCTCCCCACTCTTCACATACGTGAACCAACCCAGGGCGGCACCCCGCCTGTGCCACCGGCCCCAGCTCACTGTCTCTGTCCACGTCCTTGGCCATGGAGGCCAGTTCGCTCTTGGTGGGGTTGATGCCCAACAGGCTCATGAGCCTCTCCAGCTCTCCGGTCTTCACCTCCCCGTTGCCCTCCTCATCAAACATCTCAAAGACCCCCTTGTATTCCTTGATCTGCTCAGCTGACAGGCGCTCCGTCTGCAGGGGACACCCGCACCCAGTCTCACCAGGGGCTCTCTTGGCCCACTGTCCAGGTCTGTGCACCTGGCCACCCTTCAGGGCACCCATGTGCTTAAAGAGGAGGTCTTCCAGGGCTGGTACAGGGCTTGCCTCGCTTGCACCAGGCCCTTGGGTTCAATCCCCAGCACCACACACACACACACACACACACACACAAAAGGAGCCGCCCCCCCCCGCCCCGCCCCAGCACAGAGCAAGCCTCTTAGATGAGCAAGGGCTTCAGGGTGAGCAGGGCTCTGAAAGGGACAAGAACAAGCGAGGCAGAGGGTTCAGGTAAGGGGACCAGGTGGGCACACAGGAGCCAGGGCACAGGTGAGCCAGGAGGGAAACAGCAAGGCTGCAGAAGCCGTGGGCCAGGCCTAGGGCCAAGGCAGGGGACACCAGGTGAGACCAGGTGAAGGCCAGCCTGCAGCCAGGGCCCCAGAGGTAGCTTGAGGAAGAGTCCTCTGCATCCGGCCCCCTCCGCCGGCCCCTCCGCCGGCCCCTCCAGCAGTGGTCCTGGGTGAACCTTCAGCAAGGGTTTGGTGGGGCACAAAGACGCAGAGGGCAGTGTTGGTGGCAGAGTCTCAGCCTCCACCGGCTCCTCAGCCCCTTCCCCAAGCTGCTGCTCAGGCTCCCGGAGGGGCCCTTATACCTCCAGGCCCCCTCTAGCCATTCTCCTCGCCCAGAGGCCTACCCCAGCCCCCTCCCCACGGCCCAGCTGCCCAGCTCGGGCTCAGCCACCCAGTCGGCCCCCAGTGGCTCTCTGGTGCTGGAGCAGCCTTACCATGTCTGTGGCTGGTCAGGAGAGCAACGCGACACTGGCACAGGGACCCTGTGGGCAGAGCACGCGGCCAGTGGTGGCAGCTGTGTTTTAGCTGCCTGGGGTCCCTGGGGTCCAGGCTCCAGAAGCCTTTTATGGGTGGAAATCCTACCGGCCCTATTTTGGGACAGCTCAGCCCTTCCCCACAGGCCCCTTCCTGGTCTCCTTGGCCTGGGCATCCCCTTACCCTAAGATGCACGCCAGAGACAAGCACAGGACAGAGAGGGACTGGCCAGCTGCGGGGCCCTGATGCTGTTTCCTCTTCATGGTGCAGCCTCCTAGGATATCCCCCCAGAGGCTGGCCACCCCCAGAGCCGGCTTTCCTGTGTTCTGGGGACCCTCTTCCTAGGCTGGTGTCACTTATTTGTGAGACTTGTTGTGAAAGGGCCCCTGACGGGCCTCGCCTAGGTGCCCTTCCACCCCCACAGGCCCAAACTTCCCAAAGACAGGTTGGTTGAGTCAGGGTATCAGGACCCCAGCCACCTGCACAAGCCAGGCTGAGAGTGGCAGTTCAGGGAGGAGACTGCTGAACGTGAGCCCAGGTGGCCTCGGCAGTCAGCCTTGGGACCGGACTGCTGCTGGGAGGCAGGGCCAGGCTTCCTCGGCAGCCAGGGGCTATTCTGAGGTTTCTTGAGGAAACCTGACCTGCCTTCCACTCAGAACAGCAAAGCTGGCTCTCTTGGGATCCATGTGCCCAGGCGCCAGAGTGGCGCACAGACCTCTGCTCCCGCCTGCTCCCTCCCCAGAAGTGTGCCAGCTCCTCCCACCCAGGTCTACTGAACCACCACGCAGCAGTGCTAGCCCCAAAGCCCAGCCTAGATCCTCTCTGCCCCAACCAGCCAGTGTCCTGGCCACAGTCCTCAGGTTTTTCAAGGGCAGACCAGAGCCCTAGCGGGCTACGGTGCCCCTCCCGTCCCTCTTGGGCTTGCCCTCAGGGACAGTCATGACAGGCCCCACCTAGTTGCCTCCTCTGCCTGCCAGAACCTCCAAGGCTGCAGGGTGCTCCCTGTTCGGGTCCAGGCCAGCTGTTGATGCTGAAAGATTTGTGCTGACCACAGGGGCATCTCCTGGATGAGCTCAGGGCAGGACTGGAAGAGAACCTGGCTCTGGGTCTGAGGGGTGGTGTGGGATCCTGTTCCTTCACTTTGGCTGCATTCTGGCCCTGTTTCCCCCTGGAGGCGGCGTGCTGTGTGCATTGAACACCTTTCCCCACAACACAGGATGTGGTGAGCCACAGCACCCAGATCCAAGCCCAGGGTTTGAGGTCCGGGTCTAAGCCAGCAAGTTAGAGACCATGTCCTTGTGGCCCTGGACAGCCACACCCAGCAACTCCCTCCTGCCTGTGGCTCACAGCCATGGACCACAGGCTTAGCCTTATGGACCCCTAGTCCCTGAACTGACGCTTCTAGGCTGCAGCACGGAAGGTCCCAGACATCCCGGTGGCCTCACAATCCATGCTTCAGCTGCACCCCTGGAGCCAAGTCAGAGCTGAGGCAGTACCCCACCTTTCCCCTGGCTGCCTCAGAGCCAGCAGGGGCAGCACACAGGGCCCAGGGCAGAGGCCACAGGTCCTCACCTACTTGCCCTCTCGCCTCTCCCACATCACCTCTGTGTGGCCTCCAGGCAGGCCGTGTGGCCCCTGAGAGTAATCAGATATTTTCTGTCTTGTGTCTCTTCTGATCACTGAAGAAAGAACAGAAAAATCCTAGAACAACTAAAACACCATTTAACCTTTTTTCCCCCCAGTACTGGGGACTGAACCCAGGGGCACTTTCCACAGAGCTACATCCCCAGGTCTTTTGGGTTTTGAGATAAGATCTTGTTAAGTTGCCCAGGCTGGACTTGAACTTGTCATCCTCCTACCGCAGCCTCCCAAGTAGCTGGGATTTCATCATTTAACCATTTTGAGGTGCACAATACAGTAGTATTAACGTGTGCACCCTGTTGTGCCAGAGGTCTCTAGAACTCTCATCTTGCAAAACAGAACCTCTGTTCCCCTTGAACAGCGCCCCTGTCCTCCCTCTCTGAGGTTGCTCCCCCAGCCCAGCACCCAACTTTCTATTCTGTTTCTAACAGTCTGACTATTTGAAATAGCTCGAGTATGTGGAATCAGACTGCAATTTCTCATTTTGTTTCTGGCGTATTTCACTTAAGAGTTAGTTATGTCCTCGAGGTTCATCCCAGTGGGGCGAGACAGCACACAGCTGTAATCCCAGTAACTCAGGAGTCTGAGGAAGGAGGCTTGCAAGTTCAAGGCCAGCCTCAGTAACTTAGTGAGGCCCTGTCCCCAAATAACATTAAAAGGCTGGTAGTGTGGCTCAGTGGCAGAGTGCTTTCCAAGCATGCATGAAGACCTGGGTTACATCCCCATCGCTACCAGAAAGAAAGGGAGACATGAGTATGTACATATGCATACACATCCTCCTGTCTCTCTGGAGAATTTCACATGGGAGGTCACCATGGGGTGGGAACGGCTCCCCAAGAGTAGTCTATGACATCTCAGGAACAGTGTGCCCCAGGCACAGGGCATTCAGTGCATTCTCTGGACAGGTGTGGACAGAGTCATGGGTACCTGAACCTGCAGACAGGCCAGAGTAGGTGGTTTGAATGTGCAGCAACAAGAACCCGGCCTTCCCTGCCCTGGTGCTTCCCAGGGCAGGAGACCGGGACCCCTTCCTGGAGAAGAGGGGAGACACAGATATCATCTCATCTCTGGGGTCTCCAGTGATAAGACACACAGGGACCACCCAGCCCTCCAGAGCAGCCACTGCTGCAAACCCACCTCACCTGCGGTCCACGCTAGGAGGGGACACTGAAGTCCCAGGGGGAATCTGACACCCCTCAGGGCTGGCGAGAGGCTCCCTCTGCCCAGTCCCCCTCCTTTTCCTGCTGCAGTGTCCAGCCCTGACACACGGTTTCTGTCCCAAACTCCATCTTGGATTGGCTTTGGGGAGCCAGAGTGGTGACAAGACCTGGCACTGGAATCCACTCTGGATGCCCAGCTGAGGCAGGGGCCCTGGGCACACTGCATTTGTCACTGGGGGTGAGCTGGGACATAGGGGAGTGGTCAGGAGGCTGCTGCCAAGCACTGCTCCAAATGGTAAGGGGAGGGAAATTCCTGAGCGCTGGAAGCCAAGTGCGTCAGGGGCCTCCTGGTCATGGTTTCTCTGCCTCCACCTCCTGCAGGAGGGGAGAGCAGCAGAGCCCCACCCGTGGCTTCAGCTGGAGTGGGACCCAAGGTCAAGGTCAGGTCTTGGTGGGGCATCCAGGTGGCTGTCCCCCACGGATTGATCCCCAGGCCCCTCTGATTGCTTGCCTCTCCCTGAAGAGCTGATGCCCTCCCAAGGCTGGAACAACATCAGTTCCCCCCGAGCCCACCCTGGTAGCTGTAGGCTGTCAAAGAAGGTTAAGCTGCTATACCACCCGGCGGGGAATGAGCTGCCGACACACCTGGACGGCATTCCACGCACCTGGATGGCACATGGGAGTGGGATTCTGCATGCACACCCGCATACCAACAGGCACCAGCAGATTTTTTAAAAATTATTTGCTCTTATTAGTTATACATGACAGTAGAACGTATTTTGCCACATTGTACATGTACAACATATAACTTCTCATTCTTCTGGTTGTACGTGATGTATAATTATTACAGTGGTCGTGTAATCATATGTGAACATGGGATAGTAATGTTGGTTCGTTCTACTATCTTTCCTACTCCCATTCCACCTCCTTTCCCTTTGTTCCCCTTTGTCTAATCCAAAGATTTTCTATTCTTCCCTATCCCCACCCCTTTGTGAGTTAGCATCCATATACCAGAGAGAACATTCAGCCTTTGGGTTTTGGGGGACTGGCTTATTTCACTTAGCATGATATTCTCCAGTTCCATCCATTTACCAGCAAATGTCATAATTTCATTCTCCTTCATGGCTGAGCAATATTCGATTGTTTGTATGTACTACATTTTCTTTATCCATTCATCCACTGAAGGGCACCTAGGTTGGTTCCGTACTTTAGCTATTGTGGATTGAGCTGAGGGAGCAGCTTCTGTTACCAACAATGAGGCTTCCTTGGCAACCACAAGCCAGGCACTGCCTACCTTCTTACCTCACTGGCTCAGCCCCGGACTCTCCTTCCCTTCCACCTTCAGCTCCCC